TATTTAACTTTCTTTTCAACCTTCATGTCAATTTGAAGGGAAAAAATTAGGCAGTCTTAAAATCAAAACTGAGAAAGCTTAACAGAACTTCCTTTCTAGACTTTCACAAATGAGAGACATTTGCATTTTTGGCTGTTGCAAACTTGGCCATTTSTTCTGCATTTCCTCAACCTTGTATTCATAACAAATTATTCTTCCACCTGTACCTTGAGGTGGAAACTGGGATCTGGTATTTGGCAAAGTTACCCACTGCCTTATCTGGCTGCTTCCAATCTCACTGTCTCATGTCCAAATACTCCGAGTATATAGAGCAGCTCTACTCATTCTATTTTGARCATACCCCAAGTTGTTTTTAAGCAGACCACATTATCTACTGATCAAGAGGTGTAGATGCATAACACAGTAAGAGGAAGGATCACCCCCACCTAGGCTGCTGTCATTTTTCAAGACCAGCTGGTTTGAAGCCAGTTTGGGTATATTGAACWGTGTCAGATTTCCCAAGGGATGTTGGATGTGTGTCAACAAACAGCAACAGCAATCACAGTTATTCCAGCAGGGCTGGACAAGGAGTARAGCTTCAGAAGAAACAGACAAACCGTAACCTTAACAGCATTTTTTACAACTAAAGAAAACAGACCCTTTGGAAGAATTAAACTGATCACACAAGCAGAGTCAGTCACATGATGACAGCAAAAAGTGGGTCAATTCCACTATTTTTAGAGAGAGGGGGTGGGAAGAAAAAGTTTTGTGGCTTGGTGGTTTTTTTAGCTGACRTTAAAATAAAGGCTCAAGACATTGAATGAACTGGGAAAATACGCTGTTGAGGTTTCCAGCACCCTTTCTAGTGCTTCRCATAGGTTTCAGACAGATTTTATCTTACCCCACACATACACTCCTGATCAAGGAACCCTCTARAGCAGAGGTTGCTTTTTATGCCATGCATCTACACCATTCTACAACTCTAGCTAGTTACAATAAACTTTAMTCACATTTTATAGGATATGTGCAAATGCAATTATTTTGTAACWCACCAGACATCAGAATATGCCATCTTTCCAATAAGAAAAGAAGGGAYTGTTAATCTATTGTAGAACCTTGGCAACTTTGAAAAAAAAAATGGCATATTTTTAACCTAATTCCTAATTATGTCAATGAGATCCACAACTCTGCTTGTTGCCTGTGGTTTTGAAGCACCTAATTTTAATATTGACTCATGGAATTATTTARATTGGAAAAGAACCTTAAGGTCATCTAGTCCAACCATTAGTACATCATTGCCAAATCCAACATTAGRTCATGTCCCTRAATGCCACATRTACATGCCTCTTAAATAATTYTAGGGATGGCGATTGCAGCATTTGCTTGGGCAGTTGCTTACAATGCTTGATAACCCTTTCAATGAATGAATATTTCCAAATATCCAAGAATAAGCCTCCACTGAAGCCCCTTCCTCTTGTCCTATCACTTGTTACTTGGAAGAAGAAACTRATCCCCACCTTGCTGCRACCTCCTTTCAGGTAAATGTRGAGAGCTATWAGGTCCCTCAGCTACTCCTGTAAGACAGTTCCCTTCACCACTTTCATTGATTTCTGTGGACAGTATTTTTCCAAAGACAGAGAACAAATTTTCATGTAGTTTTTTATTTCTTCTCCCTTGGCTGGGAAATCTGTGTCTTACAATCTTATCTACACGTAAATCCCCATTTTGTGCTAGTATAAGACATTGAGCAAAGATGTGAGCGATCTTACGATGATAATTTCCTCCTGTATAGCATCTATGGCACTGTCTTATTCCTGATCTCTTCCTTTTCTCTGGAACATCAGGTATGAGCTGTGATGTGGTTGCCTGCAAWTACTACCAACTGCACAGCTCACTTGGTAGTTTTAACTGGGAAGAACGAACAGGAAAATGCAGGAAGGTAAAACTTGTTATGCTTTCTCTACATGTGTGTATCTCTTTACATTCTCCTTATATAATGTGGTACATGGTATTTTGTCTCTTCCTACAAGGGATATTGGTAAAGGAGTGCATTCACAGTAGCTGAGTGCTATTTTGCCAGAATCTTCAGAGGCTATTGGTTTGGCTGTGTAAGAATGGCCTGCTTTTCTGAAAACACTATGGCCCTTATCTTTAAAATTCAAGTTGATTTCAGATGTTTTAGGCCAGACAGTATAGAATTTACATGGACAGTTGCTTTTGAAAATCTTAGCAGCTTTTGCTCAAACTCAGCAGCTGGTTTTGACATAAGTAAAATGGATGTAAATTAAATGGATATAAACAAATTAAAGATTCACATCATGTAAATGTTGATATCAAAATTCATATTCCTTCTCCTTCTTCCTTCCTTCTTTTCAGAAGGGAAGAAGCAACACAGTGCTTAGCACCAGTGCAGAAGATCAGAGTGCTACTGACKGTCCACACTATCCATCTCCTGGGCATAGTCATGCATAGAGAATCCCAGTTCAACACTTTTCACCTCTTTCAGAATGGGTCTCCAACAAGTCCAAATCAGTTAAAAAAAAAAAAAAAAATTGAACTTGATTCTTCTGTTCAGATCTTTAACAATGTGACCTCTCCCAAAAGAATTAAGCTCCTCATCTCCAACATTTCCCAATACTGCATGCACTAATGTCCATTTAGTCTCTGCAGGGCTTTTACCATTCATGCAAAGCTTTTTGATGAAGAGAGTGTCAATGAGTTATCTGGATACTGAGACCCTAATCCTCTAATGAACCCCTCTAGTGCCACAGGGCTTGCCAAGGACAGGAGGCCCTCTTCACCGTGTCATTAGAGATTTTGACCAGCAAAGCATAAGACTGACTKGAGCAGGCAGATTATAGGCTGAGGCTTCTCCTTCCATCTCATCTTTCTGCATAGCATTTGTTTCTCTGCTGGAAAGCCTTGAGGSAGGGCTCACTCAGTAACAAGAAAAAATTCATCTTGTTTATGTAATATGTAGGTCTTTGAGGGAGAAATAACCAAATAGAGCATAAACTTTCTCCTTTCTTCTTCACCTTGTACTGCAACATGCTGAAACGCCAGCAGAACACTTCCAGAAAAATCACACGAAGAGATGCACTGATGCTCTTGTACAACTAATTAATCCTCAATGCAGTTGCTCGTAGCTGTGTTAGTACTTGTGTAAACCAGAATCTGTCCATATGTTCACACTTCCRTACACTCACGCTCATGAAATATGATTCAGGCTCTTCAGCATTTTGTTTCAGTGAAACCAGTTGTAGATATACTGGTGATCTTGTCATAACCTGAAAGTATTTCCAGGAGACAATTCAAATTTATTTATAATGGCATTTCCAGAATGGACATGGGTTTTTAAGCAATGTGCAATGTGCCTAAAGGAAATTCAGTGATGCACAGAATAATGAAAATGATTTAAATAGGACATGAATTGAAAGCAAGGTGTCTTCCAGTTGCTATTACTACATCTGGGCAGTATTGCAAGCAAAGATTCCTGGTAATTTAAGCAGTGGGTGTGCTGCAATATTCTCAAAACACTGAGCCTTTGAGGAGCTATGACTCATTGAACCACAGCTGACAGAGGACTTTCTGAATGTCACCATAGCATAAGATCCTCTCTAACTCACTTGGGAGATAGTCAAATCATCAYGTTAAATTCCCAAGGGCAAGTCTTAAATGATTTTTACTTTAATAACATCTGTTGACGATAATTTTGTTTAGTTGAAAAGTATTTGTTCCTCGAAGCCTTTTTAAATGAGTATTTGTAACTGCTAGCAAAGTCAGCTTCTCCCTGGTAAAGGCCAAGAATGCACTAATTCCTTGTGTTTACCTTTTTTTAGGTATGTCAGACACAGCTGCTCTTATTACTACTTTTTCTGAGAATTAAAGGGCAAAAGTAGAAGGGATTTGAGACCCCTCAGATATAATATGGATGAGCAAAGATACAATCTGGTCTGAAAAACTATGGCAAAGTTTGAATAGCTGAATGTTGCATGGGCTTATTCGGATGTATGACCCTACTGCACTAGACTGACAGGTTTCAGCCACACAAATGTGAGATCCGTGGGATAAAATGGGTGAAGAATTGTCCTTTTACTAGGACTGTGTGACACCAGCTACTGAAATATTTTAGGTAGGAGTTTACACAGCAGCGTTTAGCGGACGTAGGTTGTTGTTGTGACACATGGTGAACTAGGATCCCAGTCACAGTCATCTCACTAATGTGACACATTGACCTCGAAACACCTCCACCTTGAGAAAACAAACCACATCTCTTTTACAGTCAACTGGAAAACACAGATGACAGCAACGCCTGGTATCTGGTTTAACAACWTAATTGATTGTGCTGCATGCCAGTGAAATTGCCATTAAGAACACCCTGGGCTGAATTAATGCCAAAGTTACAGAATTCTGCATCACACCCAGGCAGTCTTAATGAGCTACTGGCAGGTGCCCTGACTGTGAAGGGCTGCAGTTCCTCACAACTTGCACGATAAGACAACTGCCTTGTTCCATATTGCATCCTTGTAGCTTGTGTCTGTCCTCACTGTGTGTCTCCTACAGCAGCCCCATAGCCCCTAATTCTCTGACAGCCCTTACTTTAAAAGCTCTTGATAGGATAGCAGTCGCCACTGAAGCTGTGAGATCATCCAKCAGTTTTAACCAGATTGCTCAGATGTGTATAAATGGGGTATTCCAAATATAAACCGACAGGAAGAGACTGCCCTAACCCAAGGATACGGTTCCTCGTTAGGAAGTATTTCTTCACAAAAAAAAAAAAAAAAACCAACTTGATTAGATATTAGAATGGGCTGCGCAGGGAGGTGGCGGAGTCACCGTCCCTGGAGGTGTTCAAGGAAAGATCGGATGTGGCATTCAGTGCCATGGTCTGGTTGACAAGGTAGCGCTGGGTCCCAGGTTGGACTCGATGACCTCAGCGGTCTTTTCCAACCTGATTCAGTGACTGAAGGCCCATCCGCATGAGGCTGTACACACGCTGTACACAGGCTGCCCGCCCAGCCGGGGCTCGGGGCTCCTACCCCGGCCCGCAAGCCCGGCGGGGCGCGGCCGCGGGGCAGCCCCCTTCCCCCTTCCCCCTTCCCCCTCCTCCGCGGGTCTCCTCACTTCCTGCGAGGCGGGGCTTTGCTGCCGACGGAGGCGAGCGGTGCGGCGCCGCCGCCGCGCTCCTGGCGGAAGGCAAGGTGACTGCGAGGGGGCCGCGCAGACCCTGGGCCCGGCCCGGGCCCCAGAGCTGAGGGGGCGGCGGGGCGGGGAGGGGGCGGAATGGCCGGAGCTCCGTGCCTGAGGGCGGGCTGAGCGCCGGCCCGGGAAATGCGGGTCCGGGAAATGCGGGGATCCACGGTGCCGGAGATGGGGCGCGTATCCCCGGGAAATACCGGGATCCACGGCCTCYGCGGCGGAAAGGTGTGCGCGGACACTGTCCGGAAGGACGGAGAGAGCGGCGGGGCGCAGGCGTGGGTTTTCCCGGTGTGGGGAGAGTGCGGAAGCGGGGGAATACCAGGACAGACCCTGCACTTCTGTGACGGAGTGAATGGCCTGAAGTGTCAGGGGAGGTTCAGGCTGCATATTATAAAAGGCTCTGCATCCAGAGGATGGCTAGAACAGGCTCCCCAAGGAAATGGTCACAGCACCAGCCTGACAGAGTCCAGGAAGCGTTTGGACAACGCTTGCGGGTACATGGATGCTTGGAATGTCCTGTGCAGGGGTAAGAGTTGGACTCGACGGTCCCTGTGGATCCCTTCCAACTCAGCATACTCTGTGATTCTCAGTCTGCCAATWTTCAGTGTATCAGTTATCCCTCGCACCAGGAAAGGGCCTGGTGGAGACACGAGCCACATTCATGAAAGGAATGGTGAGGAGCATTTTTTTGCCCTAGCACGTGCACAGGGTGATAAATGATTTTCCATCTTCACGGATGGAAAAGGGTGTCTGAAGGACGTGGTCTGGTGTATGGTTACCTGCACTGGGCTGCAGGAACAGGCCCCCGGGGTGGGTATGCACACAGGCGATGTAGAACAGATGGCTCCAAGGATGCAGAACGGTGGCAGGAATACACACACTGGCCCATGGTGTGGGAAGAGTTTGGGGAAGAATGTCCTATGTATCTGCCACACAGCGAAGCAAATGGGAATATGAAATTGCCCCAAACACATGGGCATACAGAGAAAGTAGAGAAAGGGAATATTCCCAGCTCTTCAATTTTGTAACCCAGTATTTCAGAGGTGTGAATGTAGAATATACAGGTAGTGTCATTTTTTTGTGAGKTACTGTTCAAAGGATGTCTCATGCTGTGGCGACTGCTAGTGGAAGTAGTAGCTCCTTGGCTTCTGGAAAGTCTGGCCCAGAATTTCCAAGGCTTTATTAAAAAGTCCTTGAATCTCTAATAATCTAAAAGCTTTAGGAGGCAATACGGAAGAGCAGTAGACCAAAGCACATGGGGATTAATTATTTCAAGTAGTCCTTCATGGAACACTGTTTTATGTCCTCTCCTTTCTGCTAAAGATTGCTGGTTACTGCAAGRTGGAAGAGGTAGACCTTGGAACAGGAAGATTTCCCGACTGCCCCATGAAGGCTGTATAAATCAAACTCAGTATGTCATCAAACACATAGAAACTAAGAGGCAATTGTTGATTAATTATTTAAAATAATTTTGGTGAACAATTCTGAAAAGAGATGATTTGCCTGCAAAAGCTGCTAATAAATTTTAACAAAATTTTGTGGCTGGGGCATTACACTTTTGCTTGAAGGAATTTACTGTTAGTGGCTAAAGGGACTTGGCCATTACTTTTTGATGGTGAATGCTATCTGAAAATACAGAGTATTTAGGCTCAGAAAAGGTCAGAGTCAGGATAGAACTATGTTATTAAGCTGTGATGTAACAACACATCACATGTTTCTTTAGGAAACATCCAAGTTGACCTGGAAAACAATAAATCAATTTAATTAGTGATAAATTTCCACATGTAGTTGACACTTACATTGCATTGTTACCTACCTTTTGCTAGGGTAAATATTTTGGTTGTTCAGATAAGCAGGTGTTTAAAATTTACAGCAATTGAAAATCTGTCTGACCAAAGCCAGTGCGTAGTTTACGTGGCAGCTTTTTGAAACAATTGTGTTACAGAGTGTTAAGGCAGTACTGGAAATAATTGTGCTTTGGGCTTACTCAAATATAATGTTAACAGAAGTTGAAATGGACAAATACCAGGAATCTTGATTCTAGTCAATTCAGATGGATTTGGAATGTCTCTACATCTTCCTCTAAACTTATTTCAAGAGACCACTACTACAGCCAAACACCAGCTGTAATTAAATGTGATCTGAGTGGCTGGAAAGATGTGTGGTCTAGTGATTCAGTTCTGTTGGATCTGTAGTTATGGTGAAACATGAGATTGTATTTTTTCACAACTTACAGATCTACTATTTCAGGAGATGGTACTTACTGTGAGTGGATGAGAGGATTTTAGAATTTTAACAACGCTTGAAGGTAAAGGAGGACAGGAAACTATTCTGCTTCTTAAAAGCCTTATTTGCATAAATGAAGAGAAGCTGCTTTGTCAGGGGTCATGGTGGTCCTAGCTCAGGCAGGTAACTTGGGAGTAAACAGACTTCAGATAAGTTTGCTATGTCACTTCCTTATTTTGTGGGGTTTTTTACTGTGGCTTCTTGGTTTACATAATATAGAATATGTATGTAGCAGTGGCTGACTTGAAGAGTCTTGTGATAGGTTTGCCTCCAATTACACTAATATTGTTCATGCAGTTTCACAGACAAGCTTATAGGTGTGTCAGAAGTGGCATTCACATCTTGAACATGATTTTATTTGAATTAGTGTCTGGTTTTACATACATTATGATAGCATGTCCTGCTCAGAGCCATCTCCAAAAAGAGGTTGTTTTAGAAATTAAGAAAATGGTGGTCTATAACATCTGAGTCTGGCTAATGTCACTGCCAGTCACAGTTTTGCAGAGCCATAATGGATTGCACGTGGATTAGAAAATACCACTTAGACAACTTGAAATAGATTCCTGSTCACCCTAACATTGCTGTTACACCAAAGCATTGTTTTGTCACRTATGATAAAACCTAACCTGATGTATTAGAAATAGGGTAATCTTGAAAAGTTGCTGATTTTGTTAGGTTTCACGAGAGTGTGATGTCACAGTAGCCTTTCTTTTAGCWCTTTACTGAAAAAATCCAGAATGCAGTCTAAAAGGAGCATTGAATTGCTCCTGTTAGTATTGTCATGTATGTATTGTGTTTTCTAGCTGGCATTATCAGTAGAGAGATTAATACTGCTTTGAGTCAGAGATAAGCAGTCCTCGTGCATTAATCCAGAAAAGGTTCAGTCCGCACAGTGGAGTAAAAACGTGACATAACGTTAGAGTTCGTATCAAAAAGATGGTACTTTCTTAAACTATTGCTAACACCCTAGTAATTTCTGTTTGGGAGGCGAGGAAATGTGGTTTTTTTGGGGGGAGGTACTGCTGTATTCTTTTTCAATATATTTATTCAAACCTAGTACTGTATTATTGATTATTTTAATGTACTTTGTCCTACGGAAGAGTATGCAAGGGTTTAGAACTTAATGTTTAACTTGCCTTACGTCACTACAATGTGTTTAATGTAGATACATAAACTGACTCAGTCARAAATGCCCTCTTTTTGTTTACAGAATCTGTAAGTAGATGCATCTGAGCCATTTGTTCCATTCTGTCATTTTGTAATATGAGATACTGTTCCTTTCATTTACTAAGGCAGAATAATTTTTCTATTTATGCAGAGATTTCCATCTGGACAGGGAAAAGTCATTTTACTGTTTAATTACAGTTGAACTTCATAATATTTAAATATTGTTTATAAAATATTTAATTTGCAGAAATAGAGGTATAAAAATTGAGCAGAAATAGAGGTATAAAAATTGAGCTTTCATGGAAAAATATTCGATTATGAAATTTGGAAACAGAATTTATTTGTTGCATTAGGTGTCTGTTATCAGTGGACTGTTACTGTATGTCCACAGTGTAGGCTGCACTTGTATATGCTGTTCCTGAAGTGTACCATTTGCTGTATGTAAATTGCTATTAGTAATGACATGCTTTTTTTTTCTCTCTTATGCCAGGAAGTGTACTTCAAGAATCTTTCAAAGCAAAAACAAAAGGAAGTCATGGAGAAAAATGGAAACAACCAAAAACTTCGTGTTTGTGTTGCTACTTGCAACCGTGCTGATTATTCGAAATTAGCTCCCATTATGTTTGGTATTAAAGCAGAGCCACAGTTTTTTGAGCTTGACGTCGTAGTGCTTGGTTCCCACCTAATCGATGATTACGGGTAAAGTGAATTTTTATCTACCAATCTGTTTCTGGGGTATTAGCAATAAGAACATGAACATTAGGTGAAAAAATGTCTTGGCATCATGAGTGTACGCAAGAAAGTTTTACATTTTTTTCCCAGAATTTATTTCATTTTGCAGCGCCTTCTGAGATTGCATATTTCTAGAATTCTGGAAAGTTTTGTGCAAATGCTGTAATTGAAACCATTAACAGGATCACAGACTGTATGAAATGAGAAGCCTGTGTCCTTCATTTTTCCGTAAGAATCTGATGATTGTCAAATGAAAAGTGCTACAGTTTGTAAATTTTCACAGAGAAAAGATCTTCCTAAGTRATTTTAAATGCAGCTCTTCTGTTTTACATAGTTATTGGAGAAAATACTTATATATTCTATATCTCAAGAGAATATTGTTAGTTCTTACTTCGACGATGGTGGAGACAGGAAAGTGTGGTTATGTGTTTCTGACAATACGAATAACAAAATGGTAGAGATATGGTTATCCATGGTATATGGTTAGGTGGGAGCGATTAGAGACTCCCTCCGTAACTCTGTGTTTAAGTAAGCAGTCAAATCACCTGCCCAGGAGGATGAGATGCTTTGGTCCAAATCCCTTCCCGTGGGAGGACTGCCCACATCCCCGGTGGATATTCTCCTGTTTGCTGGAGAAAAGTAGAAGGAACACCATGCATATTCTGTCTGGGATTGTGGTTGGTTTTCCTCAGGCTGCATTCACCAGACTGTACCCACTAAGTGAAATAGATATGAAAACACATACTTTGGAAAACAGGACCAGACTTTAGGTTAAGTCTGCAGCATATTAGCATTGTTGAACTTTTTGAAACGTATAAGCATATCTTCAAGCAAAGACACTTTCTGGACTTTACAATTGAAAATTTTGGCATTTTATAAGTTAAAATGAGAGGAAGTTATATTATCTCAGCCTTCTAAGACAGGACGTTCCACTGGTGACCCTTCTCTTTCTCCATGTTATGTTCCTTGYTTTGTATTGGATGTTGTTTCCATCCAGTAAAATGGCAAGTTGAATTCAACATCACAAAACTAGCTTGATTCAAAACAAAACCAGACAAGAAAAAAATCAGTTGAACTTCTTGACAGTATATTGAATTGTATCCTCTCTGATTGGAGAAATAAAGTAATCCGACTTCATTTGCTAAAGGGGAGAAACATGGCCCTTATTTTTCTATAGCTCATAAGCCTTTGCGGTGTGCAAGACTTGTGCAAAGTAATATAAAATACTACTTTTGCAATTAAAGGTGTTTTAATACTTGTCTCTTTATTGTAAATGATTTGTAATGCCCAAAGCAAACAGTAGCAATTTTGATCTGGCGAATGTTTTTGCTGTTAGTTGCTTTGTGTTAATTATCCTAAAACCCAGGTGCTTCTTGGGGTCTTTTCCAGTACAGCTGTTCTAATTTGTATTTATTCTGTGAAGTGATATTGCCATAAAACCAAGTTGTGTTTACTTTAACTCTTTTTCTCTGACCTTCAGTAATACCTATCGTATGATTGAACAAGATGACTTCGATATTCATACAAGATTGCAYACCATCGTGAGAGGAGAGGATGAGGCAGCTATGGTGGAGTCAGTGGGCCTTGCATTAGTGAAGTTACCCGATGTCCTCAACCGCCTGAAACCTGACATAATGATAGTTCACGGGGACAGGTTCGATGCTTTGGCCCTGGCCACGTCTGCGGCCCTGATGAACATTCGCATTCTTCACATTGAAGGTGGGGAGGTCAGTGGGACCATTGATGACTCCATCAGACATGCCATAACCAAACTGGCCCATTACCACGTGTGCTGCACAAGGAGTGCAGAGCAGCACTTGATAGCCATGTGTGAAGACCACGACCGCATCCTTTTAGCAGGSTGTCCCTCGTATGACAAGCTTCTCTCTGCCAAAAACAAGGACTACATGAGTATTATTCGCATGTGGCTAGGTAAGCAGGCCACTTCTTATATTTTTCTCACATGACTTCCAATACTAGACAAACTCAGTAAGTAGGTTTCAGTCAAAAAATAATATATTTAGTAATAGTACCCCTTTTTTCTTTCTACACTTGCTTTTGTTCTGTATTCTGCCACGTACTATTGTAGCTGAAAAGCTACAAATCTGTTTACTGAACACTTCTGGTCCTTTTGCCAAGTCAAAAAAATAACTCCTTAAATGGGTAATTTCTCCGAGCTGAACAATTTAAAAACAGAACAGTCTTACATGAACAGTTATTTTGGTTAWAGGATGTGTTTAAATAGAATCAAAGCTATTCAGGCCTAATACAAAAAAAAAAAAAACAAACCAGAATCTGTACTGTGGACCTTTTTTTGACAAATGCACTGCAACAGGACAACATGCACCAAAGGCTTTTGGTGTTTCGTATTCATTGACTTACAGATAATTGCTGTAAACAGTGGGGGCTTATGTTTGCTTTTTATCTTTGACAAAACAGTCTCCTGTATGGCACATTACCATGTGTAGTTGGAAGCCRGCATCTTTTTCAGTCAATATATTTTGCAGATAAATATTTTACCAAATGTACTAAGACAAGTATGACGGACTACTTTAAAGCAATGGAAATTAAGTCTTTGGTTGAGAATGGACAACTAATATCTGAACAACTTCAGGAGTTATTCTAGATTTACCAGTCTCTTAATCCTGGTATAGTCTTGGAAAGCTTTAGAAATAGACTTGCAAATTAACAGTTTGTTGTTATTTCAGTAATGGTCTCTAAAGTTATGAGATTTGCTTAGAGAGGCAAATACCAGGCTAGATCGCCCCGTAACCCCCTTGATTTTTATTGTAACATTGATTTTTATGTGTTAGATATCCCATTCAGTGCCCTGACTCTTCAGGGTTTCACAGCTGTAGTTTCAAAAGTATGCCCTTCCTTCCTCTTGCTATTCCATGCCAATAAAAAAACTTTTCTTGGCCTCCATTTGGACAGGTGAAGATGTCAAAACCAGAGATTATATAGTTGCTCTGCAACATCCTGTAACAACAGATATTAAACATTCCATAAAGATGTTTGAGCTGACATTAGATGCACTCATCTCCTTCAACAAGAGAACACTTGTTCTGTTCCCTAATGTGGATGCGGGTGAGTAGAATACCTTCATGACAGAGGGACACATAGCAGATTGTTGTTAAAAAAGTGCTTTTATCCCAGGTCCTCCAGCAAGGTGTCAGCCTTATGGGTGCATTGCTGCAGCTCCATGTTCACATTGCTGGAAGACATTTCAGCTTTTCAGTGTGAGAAGGAAAATGAAGAGAAACCACGTCACATGTCGGAGCAATATTAGTGCCTCTTAAATTAACTTAGAATTACAAAGAAACTTTTGCAGTGAATTATTGGATCAAACTTTGGCTTATATATCCACCTATACAACTTACACTGTAAGGATAAAAACAGAACAAAACCTATTCAGAGCTGACAGCTTGAGGAATGGCTAGCTACTAGATCCTTTGCATGTCTGGACTTTGATTTTAAAAGTAGAACTCAAATCATTTATTCTTCTTTCTTTTTCCATAGGAAGCAAAGAGATGGTTCGTGTAATGAGGAAGAAGGGCATAGAACATCATCCCAATTTTCGGGCAGTTAAGCATGTGCCATTTGACCAGTTCATTCAGCTAGTTGCTCATGCTGGTTGTATGATTGGTAACAGCAGCTGTGGTGTCAGAGAGGTGGGAGCATTTGGTACACCTGTCATCAACCTGGGGACACGTCAGACAGGAAGAGAAACAGGTACATGTTTGCTTAACTCTAGTGTTTTGTAATGCTGGAAAGTGTATCAGAGGTGAAGTAATTGATGAAGAATGATGTCAACCTGGTGGGCATCTTTCCCCTGCACAGGGAATAACAATTTTTTTTTCATTTCTGAAACAGTTCTTTAATGCAATTTGAGGATCTGATCTGTCCTATTGTGTTTTGTGATCTAGGTGAAAATGTTCTTCATGTCCGTGATGCTGATACACAGGATAAGATTCTTCATGCTCTACAGCTGCAGTTTGGGAAGCAATATCCATGGTGAGTACATTCATCTTAATTCATTGGAGGGTTGTTAAAGCAGTAGACTGGAAAGCATTTGGTCCTAAGGTGTTTCATCATATTTGATTGGAGTGCTTTTAATACACTGATCTGAGGTTACAAATGATACTTCATTTCAGAACCATAATGTAGCRTCTGGTGTGCATTAGTATTTATAGAGCAAAAAGTTACTAATAATGTTTTGATACAAGTAGTCATTTAATATCCAGCAGAAAGTCAAGAGGACAAACTTCATGTTAACTCTGTGATTGARAGATCTTGTTCTGTAGGAGCAGCATGGGGCAGAACTTACTGTCTGCCTACTCTGGCTTTTGCCTGAAGGACACTTTTTCGTGTGAGTTCAAATGACACTGAGAGCTGAAAAATGGGCAGGATCAAGAAAGGCTGTAAAGCCCTGCTAAGGCACATGAAGTCATCTCCTCATGTGTCCTACCAGTTAGAAAAACTGGGACAGCCATAGCAGACACATCATGCAGACCAATGTCTGGGTTTGTGGCTGCTGCCATCGAGAAGGTTTTGGCTTTTATAACAGTGGGCTGTGTTTTAATGCCTGYAGTCTCTTAGGGAGGGATAGGATCCCTGACTACAAAGGGGAAAGAATCTTTGGCAGCAGGCTGGCTGGTTTGGTGAAATGAGCTTTAAACCAAAGGACTCGAGGAGTGGAGTTCAGAGTGGAAATAGTTGTGCCATTGCTTCCTCCAGGAAAATAGGTCATACCAACCAGTGCAGAGGTAGATGTTCYTTGGCTGCCTCTCCGTTTGAGGATGTGTCTTGGTTTGAGACAATTTTACAGAGGTGGGCACTCTGAAATGAGAAACTTCCCCTTGATTCCAACCAATCTCTTTTCACCAATAAAGAACAAGATGCAAGTAGATATAAGTGAAGAAGTAATGGTTTGTTAACAAATAGAATGACAGCAGGCAGGGGGACAAAAGTAAACAGTTGCTGCCTACCAAACTGTTAAATCTCGTAACCCCATGGGAACAAAGAAAGACCTGGAATGCTGGAAATACCTGTTCCCAAAGTGGCACCCACCAGAGGTGGCTGCRTGGCTGAAGGACAAAGGGAAGGTGACATCACACCCTTCCTTTTTGAGATGGTGCCTCCCAGGTCACTGTATGTTCCGCAGAACGAGGAGTCAAGATGGTGACAACCCCTGTGGACTTCATCCCAAGACAGCCCAAAACCATCAGTTGGAGTCCATCTGACACAAGGGGGAAAAGAAATTGAAAGAGAACCCAAAACGGGAAGGAAAAAAACATTTGCTAAAGCAAAGACAAAACAACCAGTGAAGCAAATACCRTGCAGCAAAAGGCAGCAATCTTCCTGAGCTGAGCGATTTTAAAAATGTGGGCCTGTGATCAGCACCCTGCCTTACACACACACACACACACAAGGTCCCTGGCTGCAGGGTCTTGAAGAGACAATAACGATTTTTGGGTACATATAGATTGGGTATACAATAACATTATAGATCATCGAGAAAAGATCACAGGGCAAAACACATCAGGGGTTATTATGACCATGGTGAATCCTCTCACACCCCTTCACATAACCTGGTTGCTTGATCCTCAGTGAAGTGGCTGTATACAATTGCATGCAGCAGGTGGAATAAACAAGACAGTCTAATCAGCTATAAACCATGCCAGATGCAGAGCCATGATCTCATTGCAGTTATGGAGACATGCCTGAAATGTTGTCATGGAGAGCTGTGTATTTTTTATAGAGGACAGGTCAGAGAAGCAAGATGGTGGAGTTACTCTTTGTGTGAGAGAGCTTGTACCAAGCTCTGCTCAGGGACAGACGAACAAGTTGAGTGTTCATGGGTAAGAATTAAGGGACAGGCTAATATGGGTGAGACTGTTGTGGTTGTTCACTACAGGCCACCTGATGAGAAGGAGGAAGTTGATGAGGCTTCTGTGTACAACTGGAAATAGCCTCGCAGTCACAGGCCCAGGTTCTCCTGGGGGACTTTAACCTGATATTTGTTGGACAGCACAGCTTGGCGCACACATTCTAGGAAGTTCCACAGATCAATGAAGATAACTTTGATGCAGTGGKGGAGGAGCCAATGAGGAAAGGGGTGTTGCTGGACCTTGTACTAACAAATCAGGAGGCACTGGTTGAAGACATGAAGGTTGGGGACAACTTTGGCTGTGGTGAGCATTAGAAACTCAGAATCCTGCACTAGGGAAGCAAAACAGCAAGCAGGACTAGAACCCTGAACTTGCAAAGAGCTACCTTTAACCTCTTAAGAGACCTGTTTGGAGGAATCTGATGGGTTAGGACTCCAAATAAGGAGGGTCTCCAAAGAGCTGGTCAGTATTGAAGCATCACTTCCTCCCTCCTCAAGACCAGTGTATCCCTCTGATCAGAAATCAGGCAAAGAGGGCAGGAGACCTAAATGGATGCGATTGTAGTAAAACTCAAACAGAAGAAAGAAATTCATGGGATGTGAAAAAAGGGACAGGTCAYGTGGGTCGACTGTAGGAACATTGTCAGAGTACACAGGGATGTGACAAGGAACGCCAGTTGWGTCTGGCTCAATTCCAAGAATACCAAGAAGGGCATCTACAAGTACATCAGCAGCAACATGAAGAATAGGATAGATATGGGGCTGCTGCTGGAGATCATATGGGTGTCCTGGTGATGGAAGATACAGAGAAGGTGTAATTACTGGATGCCTTCTTCAGTCTCCACTGCTGAGAACAGCCTCAGGAATCTCAGACCTCAGAGGTTAGAGAAAAAGGTTGAAGAAAGGAAGAAGTGGTTGAAGAGGGTTGAGTTAGAGCTCACCTAGGCAGACTCAACACCCATAAATCCATGGGCCTGATGGRATGCACCCAAGTGTGCTGAGGGAGCTAGCAGATTATCTTTGAAAAATCACAGAAGTGGGAGAAATGCTTAATGACTGAGGAAAAGCCAGTGTTACTCCCATCTTGAAAATGAGCAAGAAGGAGGACCTGGGAAACTACCAGCCAGTAAGTCTCACCTCCATCTCTGGAAAACTGACAGAACAGATCATTCTGGAGGTCATCACCAAGCCTGTAAAAAAAAGGTCATTAGGAGTAATCAGCATGGATTCACCAAGGGGAAATCATGCTTAATCAATCTGATAGTCTTCTACTGATGGCACGGCAGGATTGGTCGACAATCCAGGAGAGAGCAGTGGATGTTGACTGCCTTGACTTCATCAAAGGTTTCGACACTGTCTCACTCAACATCCTTGTGGGTAAGCTCAGAAGTGTGGGTAAGATGAAGGGACAGTGAGCTGGATCAAGGACTGGCTGAATGGCAGAGCTCAGAGGGTTGTGCAGAGGAGTAGAATCCAGCTGGAAGCCTGTAGAAGTGGCATTCCCTAGGGATCAGTACTGGGTCCAGTCTCATTCTGTTTATCAACAGCCCTGGTGAAGGGATGGAATGAGCCCTAAGCCAGCCTGCAGATGACACAAAACTGGGGAGAGGYTGTCACACCTGAAGGTTGGGCTGCCACTCAGTGGGACTTGAGAGGCTGCAGAGTTGGGCAGAGAGAAACCTRATGGGGTTCAACAAGGGCAAGTGTAGGGTCCTGCCCCTGATAGGGAATAACCCCAGGCAGCRGCACAGRCTGGGGCTGACCTGCTGGAATCAGCTCTGCAGAGAGGGACCTGGGGTCCTGGTGGACGAGGAGCTGTCCATGAGCCAGCAGTGCCCTTGCAGCCAGGAGGGCAGGGGGATCCTGGGGGGCATCGGGGACAGTGGCCAGCAGGTCAAGGGAGGTGATTGTCCCCCTCTGCTCAGCTCTGGTGAGGACACATCTGGAGTTCTGTGCCCAGGTCTGRGCTCCTCAGTGCAAGACAAGGAGARGGTCCAGTGGAGGCCACTGAGGTGATTCAGGRTCTGGAGCACCTCTCTTATGAGAAGAGAGAGAGAGTATATGAAAGCTGAGCCTGTTTAGAAAAGACAAGACCAAGACAAGAGAAGACACAACTGAGAGGGGATCTTCTCAACACAAATAAGTATCTCCAAGGTGGGTGCCCAGAGGATGGTGCCAGACTCTTCTCAGTGGTGCCCAGCAACAGAACAAGAAGCAATGGCCATAAACCAAAACACAAAAATTTCCACCTCAGTGTAAGGAAGAGTTTCTTTACACTGAGGGTAGGAGAACACAGGCACAGGCTGCCCAGGTAGGTTGTGGAGTCTCCCTCCCTGGAGACATTAAAATCCCAGCTAGATGAGTTCCTGTGTCACCTACTCAGTGTGACCCTACCTTGAGAGGGGGGTTGGGCTAGATGATTTCCAGAGGTCACTTCCAACTCAACTATTCTGTGTTTCTATGACACAATACTTTATAGCTGATTTGACCTCAGGCATGATACGTAGAGTCCTGAGTGCAAGCTTCCAGGAAGCTGCAGGATTCTGGTGAGATGCTTTTCCTTACTCTTCAGCCCTAATAAGTATTGACCCTCATTTCTCTCACACCTAAGTTCTTATGAACTTTGAGAGAAAATATTGGTTCAACTAAGGACAAGGATAAAAAGAGTATTTCTTAAGAACCTAAACAGAAAAATAAAATGGAATTCTTTAATACCATTAAAGAATGCATGATATTTTAGAAATGGACATGTTGAAAACTGACATGTACAATTTATTATTACATAGTTGGCATCTGTGTGATAAGTACATCTTGTTTGGATTTGTAGTACATACATGAACTGTGTATTTTTGTCTTCCTGCTTTTTGGTGTCAGTCCCTTCATTAAGCTTAATTTTACAGGAGTTTTGGCATCACTAGTTTAGTTTTCTACATTCCAGTTCCATATTACAAAATGGAGCTGGTGCCATGAAAGATCTGTTGTGTGTTCTTTAAACTACTGTCACTACGTACCACATCTCATGACTTTCACTGTTTAATCTGCAGTATTAGTACAGTAGCCAGATTATAATATTGTAATGATCCTGTTACACTCTTCTGTCATATAAAGAACTTTAAAGATTGCATTGTTATTTCCAATTACATGGATTGGTTTTTTTTGTATTACAGCTCAAAAATATATGGAGATGGTAATGCTGTTCCAAGGATTTTGAAATTTCTTAAATCTATTGACCTCAAAGAACCATTGCARAAGAAATTCTGTTTTCCTCCTGTCAAAGATAATATTTCTCAAGATATTGACCATATCCTTGAGACACAAAGTGCTCTGGCTGTGGATCTAGGCGGAACAAATCTCCGAGTAGCAATTGTCAGTATGAAGGTAAATATTYTGTTGTACTTCTAGATATTTTGCAAACTCCACTGGGCTTTGTGGATATGGGTTTATGAGCTCCAAAACAAAGCCATCTGTTCACTTGTATAAAGATTTTTTCCTCTCATCTGATGCACCTCTCATATGGTCATGATACGACTTGCTTGCTGGTTTGCTCTTTTAAGACTGATGTTAAATTAGCAATGCCCATTCGCTGGTGCAAGGTGGTAGGCGCTTCCTCTCTGTGGGAAAAGAATGCAGACTTTGAAGAATGGAACAACTTACAGATGTGTTGGTTCTCCTTAAACGGCGATCAGTTCAACCTGCAAATTCTTATATGTCAAACAAAAAAGTGAAAGGCTCCAAAAGTTGGCTTTTTACTTCCCCACTGCCTTACACAGCCATGTAATGGACACACAGGACCATTTTGAGCAACAGCCAGCATCTAGCAAATCAATGTACTGAACTTCGCAGCATTTCAAAGATGGGAGTAAAATTCAGGATGAGAAGTCTTTGCCTTTTATTCTCAACAATATTGGACAATTAATCCTACCCYTAACACTGCATATTTGCACATAACTAGATCAGTTTGATATAGTTACCCAGAAAGCAAAGTAAGGTGCCTGCAGAAAGATGAAGGGTTATGTGAAGTGACTTGGTACAGTCCAGAATTTTCACATTCATTTAAAAGGAGATGTCTGGCAGATCTTCAAGGTCTTAAAGACAGCTTTTAAAAGTGTAATTTTTTTAGAAGAAAATGACACATTTTTTCCTGTGTATCAATGCAGTGTGGAAAAAAAACTTAATTAAAAAAAATTTCCCACTTTACAGAGCTCGAGGTGGCATTTATGAAACTTGAAATGCTAGCAAATCAGAGTGAAAACAGACTTCCATAATAAAATTTACGCAACAGATGTAAGCATTTAACAGCCAGTGGTAGAATATGAGATGTAATTTTACTTTCACAAAAAAATGAGTTTTCAAAAATTCTTTCTAGAAGCTGTTACATTTTCTGATGAATGCTGCAGCCTCATCTTCCAAAACAACTTCCTCTGATGCCCCTCCAAAAAYGAAAGAGGAAATTAAGCATAATAATCCACAAACTATTGCTCATGTGATGCAGAGATGGTGGAACCTAATACTCAAGACCCTTGACAGCTTGGAATTTTCCAGTTCTTTGGCAACAATGACTTGGCCATGTTCCATGTCACTCCACTGCGTTCAGTCAGTGCAGTTCACTTAGATAGACTGTACAGGGGATATAATGGAGAACAACTCTGTTAGGCAGGATACCTTCTGCAGTCTCCTGGCTTAATCCTGCAATATAAACACTGCATGAAGATCAGTTCCTTTGTACCCATAGATTCCAAGCAGGTGTCATGAATACCTTCATTAYCTCTGCATGACTCCTAAGGGTGAAATAATCTTCATGGCCCCTCCCCACCCTGTCCAAAGTAATCACTAGGGCATGTAGTGCCAGGACAAAAGGAAATGGTTTCAACCTGAAAGAGGGTGCGTTTAGATTAGATATTAGGAAGAAGTTCTTTATTGTGAGGGTGGGGAGGCACTGGAACAACTTGTCTGGAGGAGTTTGGGATGCACCATCCCTGGAAGCATTCAAGGCCAGGTTGCATGGGGCTCTGAGCAACTGGGTCTAGCGGAAGGTGTCCCTTCCCATGGCAGAGATCTGGAACTGGATGATCTTTAAAGTCCCTTCCAACCCAAACTATTCTATGATGGATCACAGTAGATGGTACTCCAGAAATATTGCAAGTGACTCAGAAGTGTAATTGCTTAGATGAAAAAATATTTCAGAAGTATAGTAAATTTTGCCTTGAAATTTCCAGGGTTTCTCTATCTGATTCTCCTTTTATTGGTGAAATGGCATTGTCTGTGACACCACACAAACACTTCATGCAGTCCAATTGGAAACATTCTTAAAGCACTGTTTTTTCTGTCCTTTTTTGCAATTGTTACCCTTTCTCTATTTTTTTAACTTTAGTGTTGAGCTTAAGTGCATTGYTCTGTCATGGTTTATGCCTAACAACAGTTCCAGTAGCTCTGGTGATATTTATTCACACAAGGCATGTGTTTCTTAAAATATGAATTTAATTTCAGACAGGAGATTGATTACTGAAACAGAATGTAATGCCTAATCTTGCAAACCTGTCCCCCAGAGCTGTCAAGAACCTTGCCCGTAGGTCCAAGACCTAAATCTTAGCACCTGTATTTTTTTAAAAGATATGTTAYGGCTCTCTATTTTCAAATTGATCTGTGATTTAAATGGAACAGAAATCTCATAATGATGTACATTTCTCTGGGGCATGTTTTGTTTTTTGATTTCTAGGGTGAAATAGTTAAGAAGTATACCCAGCTCAACCCTAAAACCTATGAAGACAGACTAGCATTAATTCTAAAGATGTGTGTAGAGGCTGCAKCAGAGGCAGTAAATGTAAACTGCAGAATTTTGGGAGTAGGTAAGTTAACAAATACTAACTTTGTCTTTACATCTGTGTTTTTTAACATGAAATTAGATCATTACTCATTGTTAAAATACCTTTCTGAAATGGATCTCTTATGTTTAAGTTCTTATGTATCCTTAACAAACAAACCTTTTAAAATGTCTGAAAATGAGAAGCTGACTGTAAAGACTGAAGTTTCTTCAGTGTGTAACAACCATTAAAGCAGTCTGTTTTAAGTTATAGTAAATTGTATCTAAAATGTGTTTATCTAGTTCTGTGGATTTTGGAGCTCTCTGCTGTCTTGGAATTGTGACTCAGATGCTCAGTGTGTATCAAAACAGCTCTTGAAACAACTGCTGCTGAGTGATGTTTTCTTTACTGTCCATAAGCTTTTCTTATGGGCTAGGATCAACTGTGCAGCAGAATTCTCAGATACGTTAAGGCTAAATTTGCAGCGAAAACAGACAAAAGCAGCCCTTTTGCTGACTTCCAGTTTACTTGCRGTAGAGTTCTGTGTTAAAATGTGTGTTTAGATCGGACAGGACTTCTTCAATTTAATGATTATTGGGAGTTTTGGCCTTAGGTATTATTTGTTTACAAGATGTTGATTAATGTGTCCTGGATTTTTAAGAAGGACACAGAATGTCCATTTTAGCTGAGAAATTTTTCTAAAGGAAAGTAGTTTGTTCGAGATGAAAAGTTAATTTGAACATGTTGTATTACTTAAAAACAATGTACACTGTAGTGAGAAATATTAGACCTTCACACCTTTCTTACAGCTTTTATGTTCAATTCAGCTGCTTGTCTTAGAGCTTTTATGGCTGCTTCTCATGATAGCATTAACTCTGGAACCATCTTATATATGATTCAATTATATAAGCTCTGTACAATAAAATGTTCAAACTTTTGTCTAGAGCTAAATACCTCACTAACAGTGATGTACTTTTCAGTCGTCCTGAGAGACTCCACCACCTTTGGAAGCCTCTCCAGCTGGCGAAAACTAGATTGACTAATAGTGCCTATTGCTGGTTATTACTCTGCTCAGATAGACAAATCTCTAAGCTGAGAGAGATTGTGGAAGTTTTGATTTTTCACAAAAACTGTGTGTTTTTAAGTAAAAATCACTACTTTAGGTCCAGTGAGTTACAGCAGATTTCTGGACACTAAGAGTGTTCCAGGTTTTGAGTAATTTATTTTTGCCATCATGTCTTTCGTACATCACTAACAAGAAACACAGCTATTAAATGATTTGCTGCAATCTTCCCTAAACATTAGGAACATTAACTCTCTGACTAACATTAACCATTACCCATATATACTCGGTGTGTTGTGATTAGAGCTGTGGCATTCTATGAATTATCTTCTTTACTTTGAGGATGACTGAGCACTGAAACACACTGCCTGGAGAGGTTGTGGAGTCGCCTTCTCTGGAGATATTCAAAACCCACACGGACAGAATCCTGTGCCGCTTGCTGTAGGTGAACCTGCTTTAGCTGAGGGTTTGGACCTAGATGATCTCTAGTGGTCCCTTTCAACCCAAACCATTCCATGATTCTATGATCTTTACATGTCAGAAGTTGTACTGCCAATAGTACTTAAATTTTTACTTCAAAGCCTAGTATTAGAGGGAAAAAAAATCTTGTGATTAGATAAATAGGTTTTTACTTAAAGTCTATTCAACAGACTTAGTTTTCATGTTTCTCTTCTATTCTTCTGGGACTTAGGTATTTCCACAGGTGGACGGGTAAACCCTCGAGAAGGAATTGTGCTTCACTCTACAAAACTCATTCAGGAGTGGAGCTCTGTGGATCTCAGAACTCCAATATCTGATGCTTTGCACCTGCCAGTCTGGGTGGACAATGATGGAAACTGTGCTGCTCTAGCAGAGAGGAAATTTGGTCATGGAAAAGGAGTAGAAAATTTTGTAACACTGATTACTGGTACAGGTGAGTGTGTTGCAGTTGAATGAAATCCAGTGTCCAGCATCACCACTTAAAGGCTCAGCAGTTCTTATAGGCATAAACATTACTACTATGCCTGGAAAACCAAAAATTCTTTTGCATCACCATTTGTTTGGTTTAGGGTGCTTTTTTAATTTATTCAGGAAAATAAAACCATTTCCATAGTTTAAACTTCTTGATGAATGCAGTTCTGCTCCTACAGCTATGCAGGCAAATAAAGAAAATCTGAGCAACTCCAACTCCAAATTTTTTCAGCTTTATAGTTTGATTCTCTTTCAGTTTCAGAAGTACAAGTCAGATCAGAATATGTATTTAGAAGATAAGCAACTGAATATGAGAAAGTATAAATCTCAAATGTAAATGTGGGGTAACTTTTCTCATTTAAGTATGTAGTTCTTTAGATGGTGGCAGTACTAACTAGCTGATGAATCTGCACCCAGTTTGGGAAGGGGCAGCAGTGGCCTGCTCATTTAAGTGTCCTGGCCCTTAAACATGTGAGTTTGTTTGTCTAATTACAGCATTAGAACTTCTCTTCTGAAGTGCAAAATTTTAAGGCCACTTGGAAGGATAGTTTTCTGCATAAAGGGCATGACTCACAAGCTTTAAGAATCTCTCATTGTTCAGTACCATCAACAGGCTTTAAAAAAATACAAGCTTTATGTACCATTTGGATTCATATATGAATCTGAAGGAGCTATGAGCTTGTGTATTAGGTGTGTCATTTGTCTGTATTAGAATAAGCAAATATCAGAGTCCTTTAAAAAATGTTGGGGAGCAGGGGGTGTTTGTCTTTTTTTTCAACCAAAGAAGTCTTCATCTCTTTTCAGGAATTGGAGGCGGAATTGTTCATCAGCATGAACTGATCCATGGCAGTTCTTTCTGTGCTGCTGAGCTTGGGCACATCGTTGTATCCTTAGACGGACCAGAGTGCCTGTGTGGCAGCCAAGGATGTATAGAAGCTTATGCCTCAGGAATAGCACTACAGAGAGAAGCTAAGAAGCTGCATGATGGTATCTGTTTACTCTGTTTTTGAAAACACAGTTAATAAAATGCAATTTAGGAAGAAATTTTCAAAGATAGTATTAAGAAAAGATAGATCTGCCTTTTTTTATCTAAGAGGAGATTAGAATAGGTGTACAGGCAGCCTGCACAGTACAGATTTTTCTCAGTGTCAAGGGACATTTGGAATCACTGGTCTCAGAATTACCAGAAGAACACATTAGAGCTTAGTCTCTTCTCTTTAACTTGATGTAATCTGACAGGCATTCTGTGATGTTTGGTTTCAGTGATTGTCTTTCAGCAAAAAGCTGAGAATATTTATATCTTATTTATGTTTGAGTCTCAGGAGACTAATGAGACTACCACACTCTGAGTTTGATTCCCTTCTTCTGCAAGTAGTTCCCTGAATAATACGGATGTGATTACTACTGCTAAACTCGGGGTTGTTACAGATCGCTCAGGATTCAGTATACAAGTAAAAGAGATGTAAAGATTTTAATTGCCTATTTTTTCACCATCTGACTTTGCCACATTACCATGTTTTGCTCTTGGCTTTCCCTTTCAGATGATCTGCTTTTAGTGGAAGGAATGTCAATGAAGAAGGAGGAGATTGTTAGCGCTGCACATCTTATTCAAGCAGCTAAACTTGGGAATACAAAAGCAGAGAGCATCCTCAGAACAGGTGAGAGCATAGCCCAGAGAGTGGAACACTTCCATGATTATATTTTTCGGTATACAAAAATGCTAGAGCATTGTAACACTACAAACACTCTAAACATTGAGGACTTCTTAATATAGAAATCACTAACAGTAATGAAATTTTAAATATAAATGCTAGAGAAAATGTCAGCAGAAGTGCTAAAAGTATCTGTTCCAATAACAAAAAGATTAAGATTCTGCAAAGATCACTTTTAAAAAAAAGTAAAGTCTCAACATTCTTGTATTGGGAAATTTGGGAGCATTTCATTGTAGGCAAGTGAATGGCTAGTTTGAGGTAGCAAAAGCAATTTATGTATTACTTTACACAGGATATTTTCTGGTTTACTAGCTTTAAACCACACCTCCCTCATACACAGCAGATAACTAACTACTAAGATGGTAGAGTGATGTTTTCCTCTTTGCTTACAAGTGTGGTTAATGCACTTTTGTCTTTCACTCCATAATGCTGAACAATGATTGTCGTGATAAAAGAAATTGCCTTTTTTCTCCCCTTTTATTTTTGAAAGAAAAGTTAATAGCGGACACATATTACCTGATAACATAAACTGAAAACTCTGCCCTGTGGAACAAAACACTTTTCTGACTTTCCAGTATTACTTGCTGCTAACAGGACTGTTTCAGCTAATGATGTCCAAACTGTTTTCAGTATTCTGCTCATTTTCTTATTTCATCTTTTCAGCTGGGACTGCATTAGGCCTTGGCGTTGTGAACATTCTACACACCGTGAACCCCTCTCTTGTGATCCTTTCTGGAGTTCTAGCTAACCACTACGTTAATGCTGTCAAAGATGTGATAAATCGACAGGCTCTGTCCTCTGTAAAAACTGTGGATGTGGTGGTCTCAAACCTAGCAGATCCTGCTCTTCTTGGAGCTGCTAGCCTGGTACTGGATTATACTACACGTAGAATATACTAGAAGAATTAGAGAAGAATTAGAGAAGAATTAGAGAATTGGACCATTCAAATTCCTCATGGGTGGAGGGAATACATGCTGCAAATTTTTCTTTGATGAGAGCAGCTAATGAATCAGAGTAGTGTTCCCAGTAGTTAGTGGCTACTTCAGCATTTCCTAATTGAGGTATTATCTTTTTGTATTTTTCCTAAATCTCAGCTGACTTCATAGAAAGTAATGTGCAATTCTGTTCTTTTTAAGCACCTCTGTTGGTAAGTCTATACATTACTTTTGAGTGTAGCTGAATTATTTATGAGCATCTCTTGATGTATGGGGATTATGTGTATGATGTGTAAAATTATAGCTAAGACTTGGGGATCGATATCTCATTTCCCATTTATGTGAAATGAGAAGTTTACCAGCTTTTCAGTTTCCAGGCTTCCACCTACCAAGTAAATACTATGTAATCACCAGTAGCAGGTAGTAATTTCAGGGGGTGGAAACAAGGGCCTCTACAATAAAGAAAGCTACATTTAGAAATTATGTTTCATGAAGGACTTGGTAGAGGCAACCAAGATTRTTTATTACTTCACCTCCAAAGGGCAGAGCCCCATTTTAGAAGCTTTGCATATGAAGGAAAAAAACTACAGTCTAGTGAGCTTACAGCCTGCAAAGAAGTCCAGACAAATTTTAAGTATAGCAGTGACCATCTTTGTCTTTAGGCTATGGCCAGTAGTAAATTGTTTGAATTTTATTCTTGGGGAATTTTTCAAAGGACTTAATCTACTACTTTGTCAAATTAGCAGAGAGGCGAGGGGCACTGTTTATTCTTTGGTAGCCAGTTAGCTGACATTCAGCCACATGGCACATCTGATTATGAAGAATCTACCTTTAAGGAAAGCTCTTCACTGCATAGTGACACAGTGCACCCCCTCAGACATTTGGGTGGCTGCGGTGCACTGTTCTTGTCCTGCTTTCACCATCAGCTTTCAGGATGGATAGTCAAATCTGACCCTTATCCTCACCTTCAGGGCAGAGGCCTAGGAGAAAAGTATGCCAAATATCATTGAAGGCTTGCCTAAGTAAACCATGGTTTGTATTTCTTTAACAAGTCCTTGATATATAGTGCTGTCTTTATCTAGTTGGTTTTTTAGCATACTTTCAAGATGCTGGAGACATTGAAAAAACAACCCATCTATCAGCTAATCCAGAAAGATAGCTCTGGAGGAACAGTCACCAAACTATCCTGTCTTGAATTTAATTACCTATTTTGACACCYAAGTCAACCACTGATATTCTCAGAAGTCCAGTAATGTGTTAGTACAGGGGAATAAAAGGGCTATTTCCACACTCGAACTGCGAATCAAAATGAAGCAATCTTCCGCAACAAAATAAACTTGAACTGAATAGCTCTTAGTTCACTGATTCTGGGATATAATCAATATGGATTGGCTTTACTTCACCCTCTATTCCACAAGGAATGCTTATTKAGAATTCACATCTTCAGAGCTGATTTCAGAACCACCACCAGGTGTCCTTCCTGACGTCTCCAGGAACCATTGTGCCGCCACTACATCATAGTTTCTCAGACGTGGCACATAACGGTTCTTAACTGTTTGCTGTTGTATTTGGCTTTATGTAACCAAGGATTTTCAGTTCCTTTTTCTATCTCAGTTTACTTGATGATTCCCACTAYTTTCAGTACCAGAGCATTAGCTCTACAAGCAGGTCAAGGAGAAACTGGCATTTCTCTAAAGCGATAGCTCAGAGCAGGMCTATTGGGTTTCTAACAGTGAGGAGGCCTGTCATTTGATTTTTCCATGTTCTARCATCACAAGGAATGCCTGGCTGAAATGCCTGGCTAAAAGTGGGACCAGGGTTTTGCTTTCTGGACTCTCTGAAGCTCTGTGTTTTTGGTATCTCAGACTCCAAAAGTTTTTCCCTAGCAGCTGAAGGGAGGGTGCAGGCACAGAAGAAACACTACAGACTAAAAAATATTTGAAAAGTTTTAYGCCTTTAACGACTAGTCTGTTAAGRAAATGGTTCTTCAAATGCTTTGGAAAGTGCTTTTTTCTGTCAACTGGCCAAGAACCTGCTGGATATGTACAAGCGGTTTATAAAATCAGAAATAAAAAATCGTATTTAATAGCATAATAGTTTGTCTCTCCTTCTTCCCTGTTGAGAAGCCCCCTTTGAATTTTAGGTACTTTAATGTGGCCCAGAGATTTAATGGACATTAGTTCCCAATCGTATCAAATCCCAGAAGAAGCAAGSATCTGATGTTCACACAATATCTGCAGTAATGTGTGCTTACTTGATGTTCGCCCTATTCTCCTTTAGAGTAACCCATACCATGAAGATCATGGACTCCAGTGAGGGCATACCAAACTTTATATYCAATACTGGGAAAAAAGTGCAGAGGTGAAATGCCTTTCCTCAGCTTCTGTCAGTATTTCAGAGCCTAAAGCAGCAGAGCATTCTCATTACCTGCACTGGCAGCACGTGCTCGTATAGCCTGTTGCGTGTTGGTTGGTTTTGCAGTGTCCGTAGTAAATGCATGTGGTATCYGAACTGCAGAACCCTTAGCAGGAATGCCACCATCCAAGCAGAACTGCACATCAACAGCATGGGCAGGACAGGTCCCCTCATGAACTTGGATGTTTATAATCAGCATTACACAAGCCAGTGGCAGCAGTGGAGTGCCAAAAGGTTGGAAATTGAACTAAAACAGGCGTTTTTAGTTCTGTAACTTAAAATTCATGTAAGCAGTATAAGACCTCTACAAATTGCTGTACCACGTTGTTCCTTGTGGCTGGTGGAAGACTGCWTTGTCTACAACAGTTCTGTGTTACCACAGAAACCCAAAGATCCAGGACCTGGACCATGAGGAGACCAGCTGAGTTTTGATAGATCTGTTTTACAGATCACAGCTAATCCATACAGAATAAAGGTTTAGAATTTCCTTCTGATCTCCTGACCAGCAAGTTTAGTTATCCAGTATTTTGAATCTGATCTGCCATCCATACACTTGGAAATTACTAATTGATTAGTTTTCTGGTGGTCTTGAAGCATTGTCTTTCCTCCATTTAACAGAATTGTCAAAAATTTGCCTGTATTACCAGTGGAGACAACAGCAATTTTGTATAACAAAACCACAACATAAAGACAACAAGGTGCAGCAGAATTTATACTTGGATTCAGTGAAATCTGATCACTCTGTCCCTTTCAAATGCCAGAGAGTTCACAGGCACTACCGAGTATAAAACACCTGGACTGCAGACCCCTTGGACCATTCCAGATACTCATGTTTGGGTTAGATCTAGTGCCACAGCACAAGGTTCTGCAGAGGAAGAAGTTTGCCCACAGGACAAGTACTACAGGAGGAATCCTCTTGGCAAAGACCATTGACAGCTATGTTGTCCATTCTGAAATGCAAACCATTAATCTGTATGGTTCCCTCTTCACCAGTTGCCCAGAAAGAAAACAWCAGGAAGAAACAAGTCACACCATGTTTTCTGGCTGTGTAAAACTTACCCATGTTCCACAGGCTAAGAGGATGAATGCACAGTGCTGTTGTTTTCAGGCTCCCTGCTTTCCAGTGAACCCATGACCTCTCCATCCCCCTTCTTCTTTACAAATGCTCATTGTAATTTCAGACTGCCTGACTGCTGGCTGCCACCTGATCAGAAGCTAAACAAAGCAAGTTCTATACCAGGATGTATTCAGCAAGAGTCCCCAGCTCGTCTCTCAATACTGCATGAGATGTTTACGTGCATGCAGCTGGGATTATGTTTGAAGGATAGGATGCGCCCAGGTTTTTTTCCAGATTCCACTGGCTAATGCTATGGATATAAGTGGCAACAGTGGGAAGCTAAAGCCAGTGAACAGGATTGAGCATGCACAGCTAGGCCAGAGGTACACAGAATTGTCAYGTGAAGTCACAAAACAAAATCACACATGCTGACCTCTGAAGAAAACAAGTCAATGTTTAGAAACACAGACTAGGACATTGATTTGCCCAAATCAACCTGAGTATTCTTTTGCTGTGTCACAAGGTCTAAGTATCTAAAGTATCTAAAAGAATTCTCAGATCCAGAAAATGAACTGATTCCAGGAGTGCGGGTTCAGTTCTGAGCTTCCCACTTCAGTCCTCTCTCTTCCCATAAGAGAGACATAATCACACCAGAGAGTTCAACAAAGGGCCACAAAGATTATAAAGCAACTAGAGCATTGCTTCTGTGACAAAAGGCTGAGAGAGCTGGGACTGTTCAACCTGGAAATGAGAAGGCTCAGGGGAATCTTACCAATGTATATAAATACCTGAAGGGAGAATGGAAAGAAGATGGAGCCAGGCTCTTTTCAGTAGTGCCATGACAGGACCAGAGACACCAGGCACAGACTGAAACACAGGAGGCTCCATCTGAACATCAGGAAACTACTGTACAGGTGTCCAAGCAATGGCCCAGAGAGGTGCTGGAATTTTAACTCTTGGAGATCTTCAGAAGCTGTTTGGACATGATAATGGGCAGTAGGCCCAGGTGGTTCTGCTTCAGCAGAGGGTTAAGCAGGTAACTCCCAGAGGTCCCTTCCAGCCACAGCCACTGTGTGATTCTGTGACAGCATTGATAAAGAACACAGTGAGCTAGCATACTTGAATGTAAAATTAGGGCAAAAGAGGCAATCTGCAAAATCTCAGCACCAGAATTAGCAGAGGTAATCAAAACACACAGCTGCATTTTAATTGTTGCAGTGAGATGAAATATGTAAAAAAACTGCAGGCGTTTTCTTAGACCATGCGAACGCAGCACATAGAAGACTGCTTTCACTGCTGTAACATTGTTTTGGCCTTGAATTTGAGTCTTTGCCCATTTTCTTGGACTGCAGCTCTAAACCACATCCATAGCCTGATAAAACACATTCTGTAAGATAGTTATCAACAAATACCATAAATCARTGTGCAGGAACCTCTCTAACCTGTTGATCTTTCAAATTCTCTTAAATCCATATCAACATTTTAAAGACWGTATATTTCACATAGTAGACATTCCTTTATTAAATTATCAGCTCATTTTGAAAGCCTTTGTTTTTAGAGCTTTTGAGTGAGCAGAGAAAAGGAAATTTTCAGTCAAGGTCAATGTGTAATTAGTCAAGGCTAGCAATGAGTATCAGTATTCTATGGACTTGCTGTGCTTCAGTCCCATTTGACTCACCTGCCATACCCCTGTGCACTTCAGAAGATACTTCCTGCATTAATCTTCCATGGAATCAAGCTTCCAAACTTGCAATTTACTATCATTCTCATCACCACCCATCAGGAGCGTGTGAACACACTTGCAAACATGAGAGTAGCTCCAGTCACTACAGGCAACAGCAAAGTACCCCATGACTACTGCAGCCAAACTGGAAACCATTCATTCACCATCTTACCTACCAAAGGKACATAACTGCTACTAAGATAGCTGCCATGCAGCAGCATCCTGAGCCTTAGCACATTTTAGTCTGCATCTGCAACCCTTTTCAAACTGATTGGACTTACCTTCCAGCTTGTACCCAAGAGGTATCAAAGTAATTATGCTACACAGTAGTTAAGATACTGTGTCTGTGATAAAAATGGTGAGATAATGTATGACATCAAACAGATTAGTTTTAGAAGACAAGACAGCTAAGATTTAACAGCAAGGCTAGAATATAGCTCCTGTGGATGCTGGATGAGCCAAGGAGGCAGAACAAAGATTTTCTGGATCAGATTGTTTCAGATKCAACCACCTTGGCAGACAGAGCTCCAACCTGCAGATGAGCAGCAGTAAGAGCAAGTCTTCCCTTCTCTTGCTCTCCAGCTCTCCAGTTCATCATCCTAGTGGGAGGAAGTGTCTGCAGAAGTCAGTGAGGACAGGGACAATTCAAAAACATGCAAACAGCTTCTACATAACAGATCTTTGCACATGAAGACAGCATTGAATACCAAGCAGAACAGAATATGCATTAGGTTATCAAACAACTACTCCATGCTCTCTAGTGTGTGTTGAGCCTGAGATGTGCAGTCAGAGTGACAGCAGAAACCTTTACGGAACTGCTTACCTGCAGAAGGCAGTGTCCTCAGTCCCACTGGAAGCAAGATAAGCCCCTTAAACTGCTGTTTCAGTTTTCTAGAGCTTCTGTCTAGTGTGATAATTAAACTAATGCTCTCAAGAGCTTTAAGAAAGCTTACAGAAACAAGCAGAATTGCAAAGAGCAGAAGCACTGCTGCCTGGACAATCACCAGCAAGGGAAAACCAYTAGCAATAAAGAGAAATGTTTACTCACACATAATTCAAACAMCCCCTGTCAAAAGGAAGCAGGAGACCTTCTTAATTCATCCAAAGTCAACACATTTTGCTGTTTAACAGATCTTTAATATCAGTAATGTGGGAAGTGACACCTCAGTGCACAACAGCACAGAGACTACAGTTTTGGAGGTTCTCCCATTTCAGACACAGAAAGGAAACATCAGGAAGAACATGCAATCAAACAATGATCAGCCCTAGATACATCATGATGTGGTCCAAAAAAACACATTGAAACAATTAATCAAATTACTGCAAACATAGCTTCTCTGAGTAAGGTTAAGATATTGCATCTGTAGTGTTTCCATTGAGCTTTGCTTCAGCGAACCAGCGGAGCCTGCTTGAGTGAGATGAGGACTGAACGCATGCGGGACACATCTTTTGCCTGCTTACTAGACTTGGGATTAAAGTCACAGAGCTGAGCCACACGTTCCCACTCAGTGCCCGGAAACACTTCTTCTGCATCATTCACAAAGGCTTCTTCAGCTGCCCTAAAAGCAATGCAATGCACCTTGTGTTAATGCCCAGCATATAAGGCACTCCTTCCCTCTTACAGGATGCAGTTTCTTTCAGCATGTTTCATAAGAAATGTGACCTGACAGCTGCTTGTGGACATTATGGCCACTTAAGCTCCCACAGCCCCAATCCTGGAGATGAAAATAGATTGTAGTAGTATGCTATGCACAAGCAGTGCAGAGGATTGCAGAGGATTGTGTAAAATGTTGGAATACAGGTGTTTGGTTTTAAGAACAGTTATTGAGTCTTTGCCTAAGGAGTCGCCACACAAGCTTCCAGGAAGTAAGGTACTTCCATGTAGGCATTTTATTTATGGAGAAATGCCCAGGTCTTAACTTGTTAAGCCTCTGCCATCTGATGGACATTTGCCAACTGGAAATTTACAACTGCCTGCAAGCACGTCTTAAACAGATTCCATTTGAGGATGTAAATCAGCCCCAAGGCCTACAGGCCATCATAAAACTATCTGCTGATGATTCCCAATGCTGTAGTGAAGCAACATGAATCAGAAGGAATTTAAGTCACAAATCCCATGCTTGTGAGTGCTATAGACTACAGCATATCTTGGTAGAGGAGATGACTTGTTTGAGGTCACCTCACAGAATAAACATATTTCCCCTGCTCTCACCCTAAGGAGACTCTAAGGAGGTTTTGTACATTATGTACTGGCTAGTGCCAGTGGATTMCCAGCTGTATTATTTTGGCTTTTCTATGCTGCCAATAGCATTGCTTCAATGCAGGGATAACACTCCAGCATCTAGTTTACATGAACTGTGGGGCCCTGGTAGCTGCCTGAGTGCAAAAGCARTAAGCATCAAGAGATCAAACCAAATCCATCTACTCCAACAAGCAATACAGAGAAAGCAGTGAAAATGACTCTCCCATGAGGGTTCAGCACTATTCACAGGGATGATAAGGTTACAGACACCACTGAAGACAAGGATCACTACAACACTGCTACTTCATGTGACATGACACTTTTAAGGGGCAGTGAAGATTTTTTTACTTAACTGTTCTAGGCTGTAGCAAGGATGATTTATGTTTGTGCTTAAAAGGTGAAGAGAAGAAAAGAAACGAGAGAAAGTTTAAGTCAGGTATAGAAAATGAGAATGAATTTAATGCAGATGATTAGCTGGCTGAACATGCACTGGTAGCTTAGCCTACATTCAGGAAACAGGCAGCCAGTTTTATTATGCAGCACTTACACTGCACATGTGCATTGGACATATGAAAATAAGGGTTTTATTGAAAAAAATCTAACAAAACCAACTCCAGGAGACTTCAGAAAAGTTAAACACCACCTGTAAATCCATCATTTCACAGTCTTAGTTTACATCCACCTATAGTTAGCTGTGAATTTCACACCAAACCTTCAATATTAATGCACTCAAAGCCACAACATGGCTCACCAGTACACCTTCTAAAGGTGTCACCTTAGAATCTGTGGCATGTCCATCTTTCARTTCAAGTCTACAAATTAAGGGAAGAAATTAAAATACATGAACAAGCCAATGAACATTGCAATCCTATCCCTCGGAAACTAGCATACTCACTGAGGCTTGAAAGTCACGACTCTGTTTTCACTGACCTATTGGGCTGGCAAACCATCTACACTGTTCCTAAATGTTTTCCCAGCATCTTATGCTGATTTCCCAACACCAGCTTCTTGTATTTTTCATTTAACAGTCTATATGAACRCACCCTTTCTACCCTGATTTATGTCAGGCAATTCCTTTCTACCTTCCTTTTGTGAACCTTTATGTGCAAGCACTGCTCGAACATTTTCCTGGTATGTAGGCAAAGCAGCACAGATCCTGTGCTCACTGCCTGTTAGAGAGTTAAACTCTGCTTCTCTGTGAAAGGACTAAATACAGCACCCATGTGAAACTGCAGGCACTAACCCACACCCCCAGCAATGTTCACTGGCCTGGAAAGAACTGTAAACCCTTAGGTCTAAAGACTACTGAAGTCATTACCAAAATTCCAGTGGTATGTACACAACTTTCAGACTTAATCTGAAAGTGCTAGGCTTTGAGCAGTGTATACAAGAGAACTGCACTCAATACTGCAGACCAGAGTTGGTCCAAAAAATAAATATTCAGAAGCCACCTTCAGACATTCAGCACTATTTCTGATCCTCCTCATTATCACATTGGTTAGCACACAGAATTAGTAGTTAAGCAACATACACATAACCAATCACGTCAGCGAAGGGTTGTTTGTAGAAAGCTTCATCTGCCACCCTAGGTAGCAAGTAGTCCAACAGGCAGGCAAGCAGGCAGGAGAAAAGAGATAAGGATAAGAAGTACGGAACACAGCTGGAGGCAGTTTTAACAAGCACATTCACCTTGCATCGCCTAGACTTACTGTAACAGGAAAGTAGTTACCACATGGAATGTATCAATTAGCCACTGGTCAGAGGGATGACACAGAAATTCTGCTACATTCTGGAAGTTTGGACCAGCCAGTTGAGGACTAGAGCCCCAATGTTAGCATTAGACTACTCCCAGAAGATAGAAACTACCATCAGGCAAGAGATCTCAGCAGGGTGATGAGAATGCCAAACACTTCTGCGTAACACTTGTTTAGTGAGCCCTGCTCCACACTCCATATCCTGCTCCCAAACACTGGCTGTAATAAAGCTATGAGGATATCATGAGCTCTGGCCACCAACTAGAACAGCACCAATGCTGTTTCCCTTTCTTGGCCCAACCAAAAGATAGAGAATTCCTCAGTAAATGGAAGTGGCAAATCCATAATTCCGTAGGCTTCCTTTCTTTCTTTAGTAAGAAGCGTAGTCTGCCGAGGACTTAAGTTAATAAAGACAAACCTGATGGCCATTTTGATAGAAAAAGTGGTATTTCAAAAAAACAAAACAAAAAAAAGAACAAAGTGAACAAAACAGCAGTTCATCTTGAAGCCTGTGAGTTCCCAAAATATAAAACAGTCTTAATGATTACCTGGACAGAATGAAGTTGAGATTTAAGAGGCATTAAGTCAGTTCTATCACATTTACCTTCATGTAGCTTGAAGTCAAAATTCCACAGGGAACCTCTATTCAACGCTCACTATTCAACGAAGCAACTAAGTCATCAGTTTCTGCTGCAGGACCCATAATTAGACAATTCAAACCACTAGAGACACAGTCGGCACTTAAGTTTTTCACCACTAGAATTCAGTCATGTTATTTCTGAACTGCTTCCAAAAAGAGCAGCAAAAGGTTTTAAGATATCTAATGAAATAACCTGTAGCAAAGATTAACTAGAATGCCACTTCCATATGTTCTAAAGAAATCAAATAAGAATGCTAGTCTCAGGGTAGGTAATTTCAGTCACTGGAGGCCTAGGGAACATGCCAAGTGGATAGAGTAGGGTTCCTTGTGCAGCTGGGAACATGCCAACAAGAAAATTTTCTGGCCGTGTTCAGACTTCATCTCTTTAGGAATCTTCAGTAATTCTTGATCATCATTTTAATGCTTCCTCTTGCTATTCTTGGACATTTAATCTAGATTACTGAAGAAAACTTAAAAAGATAGGTAGTAGGAGTGYTTACTTTAATGATCTGAAGGACTCTTGCCTTAGGACATATGAAAAGCATTCTAATGTCCCTCCCCAATTATTTTCATACCCAGTACCATAACTCTTTTGATGTCTGGAGAAACTTTACCTGTTACTGGCTTTTGTCTTCTCAAGTTTTTCATCTTGCCTTGCATACCACTCTTCCAACTCCTTTATTGCTTTCTCTTTCCATTCTGCTTCCTGCTTTCGTGAGTTTGCATCTGAAGATTTAAGAATTGGTTTTTCAGTCATGTTTGTATCCAGATATTGCAAACATTTCAACAGACAGCTCATGGTGCACTGCAGAGCAGACAGTTGTTTCACCAAGTCAGATAAGGGTTAGGAGAATTCCTGATTTAGGCTACAAGAACTCTAAATACTACAAACATTCCGAGGATTAGCTAAACACAATTCCTGTGCKGCTAACTGGGACAGTCCACTTCAGTTTAGGATAGGCATTTTGCAGATTAGTTCAGATTCAGCAAGTCTGTTGGTTTGCAGACTGCTCAAACCACAAACAGTGGTTTGCTACTCGCCTTGCTATGCCAGTGCTGGAACAAAGCTTAGCAAAGCCTCTACGCTTAGGCAAAGAGGGAACCTGGTATTCTGCATACTTTTACACACAGCCTACAGATCAGGACAACCTCATTTGCTGTAACTAGCCCAAAAGRGGAGCAAAAGGGCTGACCCTTTTGCTCTATCCAGAATATCATTTTAAAGAAAGTTCTGTCCTAACAATTTCAAGCAAAGGGTCCTCCACCATCTACAAWCACCAGTCTGTAGTCTCTTAGATATTGTCCATGGGTAGGTATCACTGCATTTGACAGCTGTATTTAGTTTAGTTAATAATTCATTACTTTCTTAATTCAGTTATTAGATCAAGATCCATGTGACAACAGATGGCCTCAGAAACCACAAAATGAGTAATCTTTATCCTTTGAAAAAAAGTACTAATGTCTGCAGAATTAATTTATTATCTTTCTAACTTACAAAACCTGTTCATTTTCTGTCAGCTTATTTCTCAGTAAAGGTTCAGAGAGCCACTTGCTTGCTGACTCCTACAGCAGTGTTAAGTGTGCTTACTAGAAGACTCATCCAGATTTGCTCCTCTAACTGAGGAAGCATGTTAACACCCAAAGAGGCAATGCCATTGGTTCAGAATTCTATTGCATAAGAATTATAGAATGGCTTGAGTTGGAAAAGGCCTTAAAGACCACCTAGCTCCAACTCCTCTGCCATGGGCAGAACACCTTCCACCAGACCAGATTGCTCAAAACCCCATTCAGCCTGGGATGGGGCATCCAAAACTTCTCTAGGCAACCTGTGCCAGAGCCTCACTACCCTCACCATAAAGAATTTTTTCCTAATGGCTAATCCAAGCATAACCTTTCTTTTTAAAGCCATTACTCCTTGAAAACTACACACCCTTGCAAAAAGTCCCTCTCTAGCTCTTCTGAAGGTGTCCTTTAGGTACTGGTAGTCTGCTCTAAGGTCTCCCCAGAGCATTCTCTTCTCCAGGGGGAACAGCCCCAACTCTCTCCACCCCAGAAAGCTGACACTAAGTTACTCAACAAACACCACGCTTACCAAGTTGTTCCAAGCGCTCCTTTTGCTCCTCTCTCCACTTACGAATACTTTCTGGTTCAGACTGCAATCGATCTGCTTGGGAGATGGCAGCATAGCAGTCTGTGGGACCATTACTCTCCTTCAAAGGAAAGGAATAGTAAAGTCATTTGAGCATAACAAGAGASTATTTCAGATAACTGACAGCTACATAACATTATACTCTATTTAAACAGAGCCAATAATACATTCAGCTGATGTTATAACACATTTCCCCTATTAACAAGAAAAACGTATTGCCACAAATTACAGCAGGACTGAAGGAAATTAACATAGGACCACCTCCAGAAATCAGGGATCAAACAAAAATTCAAGACAACTGGAAAGTTAAGTGCCACAAATGAAGGATGCAGAAGACAATGCCTAGCATYTCAGTAACACAGTTGTAAGCTAGATATCCTCTGAGTTAATCTCACCTTAAATATTTGCAGTAAAAGTAATTTTCCTTATAGTTTTGTGCACAGGAGTTTAAAACATTCTTTGTAACTTATTAGTCCACCTCAAAAGACATTAGCATACCACATTACAACATCTGGATTGCTGTATGCAGCTTATAACACAAGAAGCATTTCCACATTTAAGCATCAAAACAATGAGAGTCCTAGCATCCTTTTTYCAATACAACAGTTCGTGGGCTTGATATGAATAGGGCTAACATTAATACACCAGATTGACAAAGCTAATGAATATTGTGCCATTTGCTACAGAGGATAGGCCAAGTTCAACAACTTTTATTGCTTTATCCCATCCTTCACAGAGCTAAGAAATACCACCCCTGAGAGTATCAGATTGATTGCAGCCAGCAACAGATGTGGCTGCATCTTGCCCCTCTCTGGATCTGCTGTAGCCATCAATGAAGGAATAATGCAGAGACAAGGAGCTAGGCTGGTGCTAAAACACCRCTAGGCTTTACATTTAGTCCAAAGCAAAATAAACTGGCCAGCTGCAAGGCCAACTAGTAACAAGTAGCTAAAACAAAAGTTATGTATAGCCCATTCAGTCTCTTCTGATAGAGGAAGCTCTAACAACCAAAGCAACTGGTCTGTTAGAATTCCAATCACAGAATCAAGGTATCTGAAATCTACCTTCTGTGGTACAAGGAAGCACCAAGGGCCTGTAAAATACAAGTTTTCTCATCAATCTCACAGCAATGCTGAGGATGTAAGAATGCTAGCAGCAGTGAAAGCTGTTTCCACCAAGCTCAGCACCCATTTAAAACTCCACAGAAAAGTTTACCGCTCATGTTGCTTCCTTCCCAAGCATTCATTTAATCAAGGCTAACCAGGCAACTGTGCCACCAGGCAATAACAATGGACAAACTGGTGTGAAATTCAGTTACAACACATTGCCTTAGCATGCCTCATTCCTCCCTGACACTAATAAAGCAGGTATCTCCTCTTTTTGTCATTACCGTGGCTGTCTAACATGCTTTCATATTGTGATTGAGCTTTTTAGCCACCAGCTTAATTTCATACAACTTCATGTCACTAAGAAATTTATGGTTTTGCTTCTTTTAAGACCAATCTTGATCAGACAACCAGGATGCATGAATTAACTTTAAAGAGCAAGCAAATCTGAAAAGCCTGTTTTAAACTAGGTAATCAGMGCACACTTTCAGTTTAGCAGCCAATGTTAAGTCATATCACAGAGCCTGTCAGTCTGCTTTACAGTGCTTATGTACTGTTAAGCCACATTTCAAAATGAACTGATGCTTTAAATTGCCTCGAAGTTCAGAGGAGGGGCATAATTAAGAGCATTGACAACTGTGAGAGCTACCACAATATAAGTTCCTTCTCAGATATGGGACAAAATTAAAGACAAGAAATACGAAGTATTAGTCTACATTAAGGTAAAGTTCTCAGAGTAGAACAGCATATTCTAAGTATAGAATACTTCCATCTTACCTGATAGACATCCCCGTTAACCACTCCATCAACAGCATCTGTAAAGAAGTGACTTGTTTAGTCATTTAAGAAAAGATAGAACAGCCAGATTTATTAATTTCTGTAACTTGTATGGAAAGCTTTACCAGAGTATGTAATGTGGGACTTGTGAAAATGAGTGTTACTTGATACCCTGCAGGAACACTTCCTTCTCCCTGCATTTTTCTGGACAGGCATGAAAAACCAAGTGAGCCATCATTCTGCAGAACCAGAAATACAAGGTCATTTCTTCATCATGAGATCCTGCTTCTAACAACATAAACAGCAGAGCTGATACTGCTGAGAAGCTGCTACAGATTGCGTTCTACAGCTACTCCCACTYTGTCCTCCCTCTCTTAGAAGCTGACTACTACACAACTGTTCTGAAGGATGACTGCCACTTTTTTAGTGTCTACCAGGAAGATTAACAATCCCGCAGCCAACACTCAGTAATTCTTATCCTACTTTGGTTACCTCCTAATCAGCTCAAAAGATATAGCTAACACCCCTAGCAAAGTCACCTTTCTGCTACCATCWGGGATGACATGCTTGATAGCTTCCTACTTCAGTTGCAGCATTATTACCTCCGAAGTGACAGGGGCCACAGAGCCTCAGGAACAGGATCAGCCACAAATCTTTGCTATAGAACCCCAAAATTTCATCTTTTTAAAATACAGCCATAGGGAACACATGTCAGTTGTGAGGCAAATTTTTAAGTTTTTTAAACTGTTTAAATCCCTGGGCTATGCAAAATACACCAAGATTTTCAAGAACTGCTAAATCTCAGCAGGGCATCTCTCTGGAGCAGTGCCACGTAACATGTGTCTGCGTGATATACCAAGGAGTCATGTTAATGCCTTTCTCTCACTCTTAATGACACCATGGATAAATTTACCACACAGAGGTGTTTCCATCATGTTAATGCAACCCTCAGTGAAAAAAGCTGCTGTACCAAACAGTAAGCAGAAAAAATAAGTTATTTTGCACTACCTTCTTAGAAAAAGATAACTGACTGACCTAAAACTAAAGAACATTATGCTGCTGTATCCTCTGTTTCTTTGTRGCTAGGTATGCACCAGTTTCATATTACTAGTGAATGGCACACAGTAACTTCTTCATASTCCTTGTTTGAAGTCTTTATCCCTAAGCCCTGAAGAGCAATCATTAACTGTATTGGATGGAAGACTGTAAATTCATAATTTCAAGAATGACAGTTAAGTTGGATGAGACTAGTCCCCAAAAACATAGTTACTAACTTTAGTAGGGGAAGACTCATGTTAATAAAAAAGAGCTTTTCAGTTATGAGAACCTGATATTTCATAACTAGACTCCTATAACTGAGAGATGGTTGCTACTTTGTCTGATTGCAACTCCTCTGTGAGATACAGGAGACCTTTAGGAAGGCTAAAGTCACCAGCTGGGCCAGGGTGCTCATAAATCTTGAGGATGCTTTCAGGAACAGTGATAATAGAGTTAAAGTTTTCTTATCAAATCAAAAAACATTCATTATGGTGTTCACCACTCAGGCTGGTAGTCTGCTCAGGTAAAAGGAACAACATTATTTGAGGCTGTGGCTGAGATGAAACAGACAGGTTGGTCTAAGGGCCATTTTACTTCTGCATAGACAGAGCCACTCACAGACACTCAACTAAGTGTTTCCAGAGGGCAACCAGGTCAGAAGCATTAGCAGTATTAGAACAAACTTCCCATCTGTCCTGAGCTCCCTAGAATTTCAGATTAAGCTGCAGAGTCAGCATGCTGACTGAGCATATAACAAGCAGAAGAGGAAAGAGAATTGTACCAGCATGCTGTCATATGCCAGTGTAAGTGTGCTAACTGGAACAAGACCAATAGTCAAACATTCCTTCCCTTCAGCTCTCCGTGCTCAGTGCTATATAATTAAGTATGAAGTCTAGAAAAACTATTTTTTGCCAGCCTTCATACCAGTAATCAATGCTACTTGTGTATCTGTATTTTTGTTCACAGAAGCATGCAATTTCATAACYATCTTCCCACAGAAAAAGCCTAAACACTGGTACTGCCATCATRGCATTTTCACCAGCCATGAACAATGAAACCCCTGCTCTGGCTTCAGAGTCCATCCAATTCTATCACAATATTGCATCTCCTGAAGTTAACATCAACATATTTAGAACTATCTCAGTTCGTAAGGATCCATATTCCTTTATTTGCTTATGAATTTAGGATAAACTCTTATTTCTAAGGACACTGTTGCAATGAACATGCCCAAACATCTACTGTTCTGCAACACATGCTGACAATATGGTAATAATGAACTTTCATACAGCAACACAGATCATTTTTAGAGTCTGGAAGAGCTTGGAGAGGATAAGTCATATCAGCTGCCTTGCATTCACAGGAGATATAACACCCCAGCTTGCCAGAAACAGAAAGCTAGCATCAGTGCCCTCCACATTTACTACAGCTTACAAAAGAAAAGGCTGGGTAGTTTGAAGATAAATACAAAAAACATTTTGTCACTTCCTAGTCCTAGAAGTCAATACATGGCCTCAGAGATTTATCACAATGATGATCAACTACTCTGAAGGCTACTACTTGCACTAATACCCCTCAGTGCCACTTGGCCTCAAAGGAAGTCTTGTTTGCTTAGTCTTGTTCACCAGCCTCTCTAATGCCTTATTCTCAATGCAAAAGAGGACTGTTATCAGAAAAGTCAGAGGCTTCAGAGTACACTGCAATACTTTTCTTATGCKCTTTCAAAATAAAAGTAGTTTTATGAGCTAGCTTCAGCATCCCTTTTAAAAAATAAGTACTCTATTTCTTCACTGCTACTTTCAGTGAGCTAGCAGCTCTAGTTAAAGCAACAGAAGAAGGAAGCTTAATATATTCTGACATAAGGTTAAGTAACTTCACCACTGAAGGCCTCATTTCCCATCCTTTTTCTTTTAGGCACAGTCATGCCTCCTTTTTACCTACCTCTCACCTATAAGATGATAAGACGAATCTTTCACAAAGCTTTTGCTTACATAGTTATGTAAGAACTTGGGGAAGAAACAATTTTTCTAGCCATAACTCAGTCTCATGCCTGTGTGCAAAATAAAGGCAAGCAACTCAGGAAGACTGCTTCTTTCCTGTGTTTTAGTTCTAAACTGTTGTCATACCAAAACCCATTAGTTCCCTCATTTTCAATATGGCTAGAACTAAACCATACCTGCAATAACACTGTGCTATAAGAGCTTCTGTAATTTTCCAATGTAACAGCTTCTCTAAGTTCCACTTCTGTAAATTTCCAATAGTATTCTCTTGAAAACAAAAATAATACATTTTTCTATCCTGACTTCATAATAAWGCAGCATTACYAACAGGCTGAACAGACACSACCYCTTTATTATACCTTTCTCAGTGCTRTCTTATGAGGTTCTGAAGCCTTCGATGATGTGGGTTTTGCTATGCAATCAGCAATGGCTAAATGACTAAGAAAAAAATCAATAGTCAGAGGCAAGACCTCTTTCTGTCTGTGGTGCCAACTAGAGAGACAGGAGGAATCAATTTTTTCCTAAATAATTTTCAAGCAAATTCATACTCCGTTCCTAAAAGGCTATTAAATTAAGTATCTAAACAAACCACCAGACACAATTAATTTTCTTAATTCCTAGAAGCTCATGAATGTCTTTGGAAGATAGAGAAACATCATTCAATCAAGTTCATACAAAAGTTACAGAGGTTGAAAATGTAAAGGTGATGATTGAGATTAGTCAGCCTACATTAAATTTGTGTGTATTTGCATGATTGTTAACATATATAACTGTTTGTCTTTGAATTAAATTCCCCATAAGGAACTACTCAATAAACTGCCATGAGGTGTATGTATARGCATACAATATCTAGAAGCCACCCATTTCCACTTGGACTCTCTGTCTCCTGCTCAGAGAATATAGTAAGTGAACTGATATAACCTCAAGACATACTCTTGTCAGAATTTGACTGCAAATACATGTAGATATTGACTCATTACCGAAAAGAGAAACCTCGTAAGACATCACATTACTAATAACAAGGCAACAGCATTGTATTACTTGATTTATGCAGTACTCCCTGCTTTCTGAAGCAGGGATTATGCTTCATTTTCCAAGGGAAAAAAGATTAGGTTTTCGCCTGCCCRGGCAGCTTGAATGGCATAGCTATTTACATAATGAATGGATCAGRCCAACCCTGACCACGGCAACATGAAGGGATGTGTGAGACACATGASCTTGGCAACATTCTGCCATTCTCCCCATACTCACCTAGTACCCATCACTGCAGTAATAAAMAGAATTCCCTATATTGTTATTACAATTCATGAAGCTCACTTCAGTACATGTATTTGTCTCATCACTTATCAAGAGACTGAAATTTAGAAACTGTTTGCTGATGAGAAACTGTGATTCTTAAAAGTGTATTTCAATAAGCTGATGACTGATTGTCATTACATCTGAAGTTAAGATCTTCAAACTTCAGTTTGAGAGCAGCCCAACTTATTACTTTTGGCCCAGTATTTAGAATGAACTTATCCAACAGACCTGTAAATAAGGAGTTCAAAAAAGGTTACGGTTAAAAAAAGTAAATCCACAAATCCCTGGTYACGATGCTTAAGGATTTACATAAGAACTTGCATTGTTTCAAGAAATTTGCATTCACCTGAAACAGCTTAATAAGCTAATCTGGCAGAGACTGCAAYTGTCTGATATTTATCAAGATAGTGAACAGATGCTAAGGAATGTGTAACACAAATGGCAACAGAAGTCATTAAATCAGCTGTCACCATACCTGAACCAGCATATTTTGCACGGCTACCATCTGTGCTTTTTAGCATGAGGGAAAGAGAATAGACTCTGACAGTCAACAGAGATCAATTTTCTGTTAAAAAACAGGACCACCAAAAGTTCACAAGCATCATCTCCCTCGCCTATTTAATAGGCAGAGCAAAAAAAGAGAATACAACAAAACAAGATGACAAAAAGCTCATGCCTAGACTTCCCAGATCCCTAGATCAAGTTATCATATTTATTATTTTATGAACCTCTTTCTAGACAAAGTTCTCCAATAACACTTTTGCATTTCATGACAAGACAACTTGCGCGACTTGAGAAAAGAACTCTTGAAAGGCAGTTTAAGAGCTACTTTTAAATATCACCCAATCCAGAGGCATTTAACAAACYGACTTTTTGACAAGAAAACATTCTGCAATAGTCATCACTGCATGCACGTAAAGAATATAATCCTTTAGTTGTTCTAGTACCTTGTGTGAAAGGCCAATGGTAGAAAATTAGTTTTTCAAACAGCTACTTTAATGTTCCAGAGACTGTTTGGAACAAAAAGCCCATGTAAGGCATAATGTTTGCCTAAGGCTTTTGMAAGTAAGAAGGGAAGTGTCCACTGTGTCTGTTTCTGCACTATACATAGAATGCGGAAGTCAAACTATGTATGGTATCAAAACAGGATGGTGTTCTGATAATAATTATCCTCAAATTCTTGTGCTGGAGCAAGCTGGATCCCAGTAAACACCTTTATTTTCAGGAGTACGTAATCCATRTATATGGACCTTATAAGTGAGCTGATGTTAAGGGTAGTGCTACCACTAAATAAGCACCGGGAGGTCTCCAATACCCAATTTATCTAGCTGAGCCTTATTCCCAGAGATATGATGAACCTGCCCCCTCACACATAAGATACATCAGTGATTTCTGATACCAAATTGCAAAATGAAGACTTAATTCTAAAGATTTAGAAGACTGGCATCTTACTGCAGTGACAAAGGGATGTCACATGAGAGCCAGTATGTTCCTCTGGCCCTGGTGACAAGTAGAAGCTAAGTCTTCCGAGAGTGTTGCAACATCAACTCCTTTCCACTCAGAACTTCAGTTAAAACCTTTCATAATGAGAATTGTTTATTCTGGGCTGCTTTAGCTACCATTAGACTACCTGGAAACACACTAACCTGCACTTCCCAGGACACACAGTTCCCACCCTCCTCCAAACGCGCCTTCTGCAGTGACGGGTTTGCTACGCTCAGTACAAAGGTTACCAAGGAACAAAGGCTGAAGGTTTAGTAAAATTAAACATTAGCTTAATTGCTCTCATACTTTAAGACGAAGATCACTCCTGCTGAAGACAGAAAGTCAAGTGGCGGATTTATCCTGCTTTGGAAAGCCCTTCCTTCAGGCAGGCTCCTGGATTAGGCAAGATCAGCACCGTTCGCATTAAGGATATAAACACGCCTTAGGCATCTTCAGGGCATACAAACTACAGCAGGGAGGCAGCAGCTCACCTTGTGGCACAGCGCACCCAGGACGGCCCCGACCCACCCCCGAGAGCACCCCCGGGCAGCGGAGCCCCACTCGGGGCACAGAGCCTGGGCGAAGGCTCCTCCGGCACCGGCCCCGCCCGGCCGCGGCGCCCCGAGGGAAAAGGGGAACCGGGACCCCTCGCCCCCCAGTCCCCCCCGCCGCCCCCGCAGGGCGTACCCGCGCCGAGGCCCTCGGGACCCTGCAGCGCCTCGGGCACCTCGCCGTTCTCCAGGATGCCGTAGCCCTCGTCGTTCTCGATGCCCGCGATCTCGTTCTCCTGCTGCGCCAAGAAAGCGGCCGCGGGATCCTCCTCGCCGCCGTCGGTCGCGCCGTTCCCGGCCGGGGGCTGCTGCGGCTGCTGGGTACCGAAGAGCTCCATGTCGGCCATGGGAGAAGGCGGGCAGCAGCTGCGGCTCCGCACCGCGCCTACGCCGGGCACCAGCGCGGAAGGGGCGGGGGTGCCCCGCCTGCGCCAATCAGCGACGAGCACCGCACGCTATGACCAATCGGCGAGCGGCGCTGGCGGGGCCGGCGGAGCGCGAGCCAATCAGCGCCCAGAGCGCGGCGGGCAGGCGGGGCGGGGCGGGGCGGGGCCGCGGTGCCTGGCGGAGTCGGGCGGCACCGGCGGGATGTGTTCCGTCGGGAACTGCTCCCTCGGGATCTGCTCCCTCGGGCTGCGGCGGGACCGGCATCGCCTCCAGCAACGTGTCAAACCACGGGCTCCGCTGGGACGTGACACGGGTCCGTCGGCAGCTTGGAGACAAATTCGAGCCCTCAGACTACGTCAATAAAAACATACCTTCTGTCAAACATCTTTCGTTATTTTGGGTGTCCCCTGTCTGACAATGGGAAGCTTAAATCACAGAATCACAMAAGGGGCCAGGATGGAAGGGAYCTCARTGAGTCATCTGGYCCAAACTCCCTTTTCAAGCAGGGTCATCCCGAAACRCRTGGAACAGGATTGTGTCCAGRTGGTTCTTTAATTGATCTCCAGTGAGGGASACTCCACAACCTCTCYGKGCAAACTATTCCAGTGCTCACTCACCCACACAGTAAAGTTCTCATATTCMGGTGGAATGTACTGTGCATCCGTTTTTGCCAGCTGTCTCATGTCCTAGAGGTTGGCACCACCAAGAAGATCCTGGTGTCATCTTCTTGACACTCCCACCTTTAGACATTTATACACATTAATGAGGTCAAACCAGTGTAAATTTGGTAAACATGTGTTCCATTGTTTTGACAAAGGTGTTCATTAGATGGGCAGTGACTTCTGTTACAGTTTTTTTGACAGTTTCTTTGATCAGTTTCTGTATCTGGCTTATCACACAGATAGAATCATAGAATCGTAGAATGTTAAGGGGTTGTAATGGAACAAAAGATCATCTAGTCCCAAACCCTGATGCCATGGGCAAGGACACATTCTACTAGAGCAGCTTGCTCCAGGCCTTATCYAACCTTATCCAGCCAGGAACACTGTAATTGTTGGGACATCCACAACCTTTCTGAGTAAACTGTTCCAGTGTCTCTCTACCATCAGAGTAAAGAATTTCTTCCTAATATCTAACATAAATTTCCCCTCTTTCAGTATGTACCCATAACTCCTTGTCCTGTCACTACAATTCCTGACGCTCACTCCCTCTCCAAATTTCCTGTAGGCCCGCTTTAGATTCTGCAATGTTGCTATCAGGTCTCCACACAGCCTTCTTTTCTCCGGGCTGAACAGCCCCTAATTCCTCAGTCCGTTTTTGTAGGGACAGTGCTCCAGTCCTCTTATCGAAGAGTTTCCTGTTGGCCATGGGGGAAGGCAGGCAGGTGGCTGGGGGAGCAGCCTCTGGATTTGCTCCAGCCTTTCCATGTCATTCTTATGCTGAGGTAATCACAACAGTTTGCAGTATTCCATGGGATCTCATGTTAGCAGAGAGGGGGACAACCACCTCCTTCAGTCTGCTGGCAATGCATATCATTTATTGGCAGCAGAGAGGGGAGGGGAAAATATTGCTGTAAAAAAAGGAGCAAATGATGCTGGCAGCCCTCAAACTGGTGTAATTGCCACAAGAGGTACTTGTTTAATTCCACTTACATGTTGCCTATAAATCTGTGTACGTTTCATGATGTACTAGAGGTAATGTCATCCGAGGTTATGTTATAGTCCCAAACAATAGTTCAAACATGAGGCCAAGTTCAGAGAAAAATTTAACTCTGAAAGATAGTTGTTTTGCATGTGAATTTAACAGTATGAGATAAACCACATGCTGAGTTACACTTCTTCCCCTCTGTCAATATCATTTGCTCAGGAAAAAAAGCATAAGTAAAGTTCTGCAGTGTGACAGAGAGCTCCCTTCACCTCATTTAGTCAATTGAAACATGTGCCTCGTTTCTCCTGTGAAAACTCAGAATGTGGCAGGAGGCTAGACTTTCCTGATTTTGTATCTTGTAGAAACATAGCAAGGTTATTTATTTTAAATAATCTCCAGCTGCCATGGGAAAGCTAAACAATTATAAATAACAGCAGTAAGCAGGCTCATAACTCACACCAGGAGACCATAAAAATGAAATGCCACCATGAAGCATATGCCACAATCTCACAGAAAGTTGCTGACTTTTTTCCACAAGTTCTTCTAAAAACACACTCCCATGTGCATTTTTTTCAGTCTTCTTTCCTTATATATAAACAAAAATAATATTGCAC